AACAAAAACATCTCATATATTTATATACCTAGACCATATAAGTTTATTGTTTTTTTCAGTGATGAAATTGGTGGATACATTTCAAAACCTACTGAATAGTGAGGAGACATTACAATTTCAAAAGGAATTCACTGATTACCAGCTAACACCATTGGAAGAATTACCAAAATGCTCTTCTCCTGAAACTTGACAATTTGCCACTTTTTGGGGAGAAATGTCAAATTTACATGACATTTTTTCAAATAAAGCTAGGTTTATTGTTTTATCAAATCTAGCAATGCAGATAGCAAAAGAGCTTTCTCTTTAGTGAAAAAAATAGCCACAGAATTCCGTGCTGACCTAAATAATGATACATTGTGTCAACTGCATTATTATCTTGTAAAATGAACACCCACTTGAATTGTTTTGAGCTCAAACCTGGTGCACTTCTTTTAAAGAATGCAAAGACAGCTACAGCTGAATATAACAATATTCTGAAATAATTGTATATTTTTTGTATAAAATATTTCTTGACTATAAATTATATGTAAATATTTTTTCGTTACTTGATTGAGCCTGAAAAAATGTCGTAAGCGTTATGACCTGTTATTTTTTTACTCAATGCTGGTCATGACCTGCATTTCGACTTTCAGAGGTTGACAGGTATGACAAAACAAAGGTCATCAGCAATGAGCTGAGAGAGGAAAAAGTTTGGAAAGTGGACATTTTAAAATTTTGATAGTTTAAGACTCAATTTTTAAGAGACAAATTAAAGTAATTGAAAATGCTTTGTTTGATGTGTTTACGATAGTTTAAATACTTAAATACTTCTCTATGAAAAGTTTTATGCACAATACATTGTTTGAACAAGGCCCCAGATAACTTCAATTTGTTTGAAAAGTTGTGTAATTTTAGAACTTATCAGGATAGGAATAAATAGCGATAAGGTGTATTGCCATTGGCAATCATACCTCATCTCTTTTTCAGGTTGGGCTCAAGTCAGGAAAACTGGGGTATTCCTTGTTTTCAGGGAACACCCCAGTTTTCTGGTGTTAAAAAACCCCAGTAAACAGGGATTTCTTTTTTCCTTGTCAATTTATGGTATGAAATCTACAAAAGCGCACCTTCTACATGTGATAACAATGTTATATGATAGCAAGTGTTTTTATAAGTTCAAAAATCAAGCTAATTTCAAGTCTTATTTGATGCTCAACTCACAACAAAACAATTCCTTTGTTCACCAATTCATACCTTGATCATCAATTATGAGAAGACAAAAAGATAAGTTAATCACTTTGGCATTTAAATTCAATGAATAGAAAATTTCAATAGAAGTGAACATAATTCAGTTATGATCAGTTACACTTGAGCATGCAGCTTGATCAACTGATTCCTAAACAAAAGATTTGTATGTTTTTGAGTTCTAGAAAAAACAAGGCTTCACTTATTCATGTTTTGTTGTTCCTGAGATACTTAAAGTATTTACAAATACTACTGATACAGTTAAAACATGCGCTTTTGTAAATTTCATGCCATGAATTGAAATAGAAAAAGGAAGTCCCTGTAAACTGGGGTTTTTTAACACCAGAAAACTGGGATGGTCCCTGAAAACAGGGAATACCCCACTTTTCCTGACTTGAGCCCAACCTGTTTTTTTTATTTATTCATTTTTTTTCACAGGTAGCACCTGTCATCTATTGATAAACCATGATGCAAGGTTTGGACAAGAACTCTAACTGATGGTTTCAAATAATTTTTTTTTTAAACTAAGACCATAGGTTTTAGCCTGTTACTGAGTTAGAGGTCGTTATTGTCTTTTTCCTTTCATTCGAGCACACCTTTTTTTAAAATTCAGATTAATTGCAACTAAACTTTAGTATAAGAATGACAAACCTTTCTCAAAAAGCTTTTTGAAACTAAGTGATACTGGGTTTAATTTTACCACAAACGAATATCCTAAATAACGAGGTATTTCCTCACACCTGTAATGTGTACACTCCTACAACAATTCTGCACGTGCAATCGTGTACCTGTTTACCGGAACACTCTATAACCAATGAAAAACTTTGTAACATCCAGGTTAAGGTCGCATTTTGATCTTAATCAATGGTATGTTTCTAAACATACAGGCTTCCAATGTAAGATTCTGACTGCGTTTTGACACTGAAGACCAATACTAGCAGACGACGAAAATGTTTTATGGTAGTAACTAACAGAGACATATAATAGTGACATATAATACAATATGTCTCTGTAACTAATAAGCACTAAAAGAATATGAAGCATTAACATCAAGTTCAAAAGGTATACAACAAAAATATTAAGAGTATAGATTAGAATGAAATATTTTATTTTTCCAAATTACAGGGCCCATAAAGAGCATATAAATCCGATACAATGATTGAAGTAATTGAGTCAACAATAAGACATTGCAATATAATATAAATATAACCATAAGCCTCAGACAGAATCAGAACAAAAAGAAAATAAAACAAACAAACAAAAAACACATTGATATTAGATACAATGCAGTCCGGGAAATCCGAGGGTAAATCCGCCTACATAACTTATAAGGCTTTGATCATATGTATTTCTGCTTAATTATATACAAATTGTATCAAATTTATTAAAAATCGATTCACTGACAACTTAATTTTAAGTAGTTTATCTCAGACATTTCCCCAAAAATATCTGAAATTAATTTTAAAATAAAAAAAACAAGTGGGTCACATGTGTTTTTATCGGAAATGTGTTTGTCCGGTAAATTTGCCCATGCGCAGTAAATGTGTGTGGAGGGCTATCACATATTTATGAAAGGAAAATGGTAATTTATTGATAGACCACTTATAAAGGTATTCCAGACAATCGAAAAAAAAATTAAAAAATTTTCAAGTCAGAAATGAGTTTTGTAAGCAATAATATGATTATCGTTAGATTAGGAACTGTATTATATCACTAGATATTATGGTAATGAAAGATTTTTCTTTAATAGTTGACATGCAGTGAGGATAAGTACAGTTCCTAAGAATAAGATAGCAGACGAAATATTCACGGAAGTGACAATTATGGGAGTGGGCGGGTTTACCGGACAGGAGGAATTACCGTACACTACTGTACCTATATCAAGACCTGTTCTTCTTAAGTCAAAAGAACAATCAATAAACTTACCATTTTTTTCCATTATAGTTAAGTTTTCTTCTGTTAAAAACCAAACAAATTTGGAAGATAATAGATTCATCTAAATTATCAAAGTTGTGACAAGTGCTAGAAATATATATATATACTGAAAGAGTTCCTCTTTCAAATCATTTTAAAATTAGCGTTTGATTAAGAAGTGATGCTCATCCTCAACTTTATAAGCTGTACAATTTGAACAGAAGCGCTCAGATCTATCAGTACAATTTTTTGAATATCTTGCAGTTTCAATTCTTAATGGCTGAGCATGGATTCTTAATTTGCATATAAATTGTCTTTTTTAAAAATCAATGATATCTAAATATTTCTCTTTTTTAAGACTGTCATTAAATGAAAAAAAAGTGTCAAGTTTGCCTTTGGCAGTGTTCATTGTTTGATACTTTAGATGATTCCAATATTTAAGAAAACTGTCACACAATTTATGTTTAACAAACTTACATAAAGTACCAAGTTTTTGATTAAAATTCGGTATTTGAATCTCTTTTTGTATAAATTCCATACTGGAATATTATCATGTATTGACTTCAGAAAAATGTAACTGTTTATTACATATATAGGCATCATATAACAATCCATCTTTCAAACCTTCTAGTCTATGACAATATTTGAACATTGATAAGATAACTGTGAAATAAATAGGAAATCTACCAAATTTTGACATCACAGCTATATTACATGTTTTTCTATTAACACCAAGAATATAAAGGTAAATAAAAATTCTATACCTAACTAAGGTCTGCAAAAGGAACACTGCCCTCCAAATTGACACAACCAAACCTTTTAATTGACTCGAAGGCATTTCAGCAACTCCTGTCAAAAGTTGGCTCCTGCATATCTAAATGAGTACAGCCCATACACCAATCTAAGAGTTGTTTTTTATGAATGAGTTACATGGGTTGACAGGAGGTTAATCGTTGTAAACAACGTCATCGAACAATCTGTTCTTACTCGGGTGTAATAACAAAAGCATTATCACATAGGAAATGTATAGGAAAGTACAAGAATTTCGAAAGTCATCTGATAATTGTCCATACCGTGGCAACATCATGCAGCTATATTGTCATTTGTGAAAGAGCAAATACAGTTTTTAATTTTGATAAGGTCCTGTAAATACAATGGACATGGTTTATTAACAATTTTGTATACCTCTAGTCTATTGCTGTCATTGTGACATAGGAAATGTACCGGGAAGTGCAAGAATTCTGACAAGTAGAGTTGACATTGTTGAATATTTTACATACAGGTTACCTCAAATGAAAATTTTATACTTGTTAATTGTAAATACATGTACATTGTATGTGTAATACAATCAATGGCAATCATGCTGTATCATTCATTCATGATGTTATCGATGTCAGTCATAGATGCAAAAGCTTTATCAAACCCCTTAACTGTATGATGTCATGCCATCAATATCAGTCACAGTGGCAAAGGCTTTATCAAACCCTTAATCTGTATAACATCATCTCACATGAAAAACATATACTTGAAGTATATAATAAAGTGTATATGATATGGGTTTTTCAATATCTCACACCATATCAACCCTCAACCAATATATTACCTTGGTGTCTCAGGTTGATACAGATGTGATGTTGAATAAGCCATATCATATTCTCTAGTAATTTGTTAAAAGATTTATTAAAAGAAATTGACCAATTTAGGATATTTGAATTTCTCATTCCTGCTGGAAAACTTTTTTTTATGAAATCTGAGATGACACTGTAAATTGAAAGTATAGTTGTATAAAATGAAAAGTTGAAAAGAAATCATAGTAGTTGTTATAAGAATATGCTATTTTTTTTTAGTTATTTTTTAGAAGAAATATGAATGAAAGACTAAGCAACCAAACATCTGTAGTTCTGTTTGCTGATCCACCAGCTTTGGATGATCTGTGTGTGATTTCTGTTTGTGTTAAAAAAATATTACAGACTGTTCCGTCTACATCAAGGTTTCAGATACAAACAATAAAGTGCAGGTATAATAATTTATAGAATAAGTAATAGAAATTAACTTTAACATTTATTTAATACATGACATTTAGATTAAAAAAAAAACTTCCTACAGGCTGACCATATAAACACATAGGACCCAGGGAAGGCACTTTGAAATCTCCACTTTGGTTGGGTGTCGAGTACAGTAAAATAAAAAGTGAAGTTCTAAATATGCCTCATTTGGTGGTAACCCCACTTTGAAAGTGCCTTCCCTTGGTACCATGACATAAAATTGAGAATGGAAATTGGGAATATGTCAGAGAGACAACAACCCGACCAAAGAGCAGACAACAGCCGAAGGCCACCAATGGGTCTTCAACGCAGCGAGAAAATCCCGCACCCGGAGGTGGTCCTCAGCTGGGCCCTAAATAAAATTGTGTATTAGTGCAGTGAAAATGGACGTCACACTAAACTCCAAAACATATAAATGTACTAAAATTAAAAAAACATACAAGACTAACAAAGGCCAGAGGCTCCTGACTTGGGACAGGCACAAAAATGCTGCGGGGTTAAACATGTTTTGTGAGATCTCAACCCTCCACCCATACCTCTAGCCAATGTAGAATAAAGAAACACATAGCAATACGCACAGTAAAACTCAGTTCAAAAGAAGTCTGAGTCCGATGTCAGAATAGGTAACAAAAGAAACTAAGCAAAATGACAATGATACATAAATGAACAAAGGACTACTCGCAGTTACTGACATGCCAGCTCCAGACCTCAATTAAACTGATTGAAAGATTATGTCTTCATCATATGAAAATCAAGTACAATCCCTCCCGTAAGGGGTTTAGTATCATACCATCATAAAATATATGAGAAGAACATAACCCGTATCATGCTAATAACTGGTTTTAGAATAAATGTGTTTATTTCCAATGTAAAAACCCTATGAGTGAATCAATATTAATACCAAAATATGCAATCCTTAATGACTTGACAACGGTATCGTAACTATATCCTTTCCGAATAAGTCTGTTTAAAGGTTTTGGTTAGCTTTTGAGGTGAATGCTGACATTTCTGTGCTTTGTAAAGAATATTATCATAAAATATTGGATGTGAAATACCCGAACGTATAAGATGTCTGCATGTTGATTTATATTTACGAATGATGTCCTTGTACCGATGATAAAATTTAGTAAATGTTTTGACTAGTTTGTGATATCGAAAACCCTGGTGTAATAATTTTTCAGTAATACAGAGATTTCTTTCGTTGAAATCAAATACGTTGTTACATAAACGAGCGAATCGAACAAGATGAGATATATAAACACCCTTAGATGGTGACAAGGGAACGTCACCATCTCAAAATGGATAATTAACAATAGGAAATGAAAAATCATCTCTTTTATCATAAATTTTGGTATTAAGCTTCCGGTTAAAGATATAGATATCAAGATCCAGGAAAGGGCAGTGTTCATTGTTAGTATTAGCTTTATTTAAAGTCAGTTCGGCAGGATAAATCTCTTTAGTGTACATACTGAAGTCGTCATTATTGAGAGCCAATATATCATCTAAATATCTAAAAGTGTTATTAAATTTTTGAATCAGATGTTGTTTCGATGGGTCTTTGCTGATTTTAGTCATAAATTGTAACTCATAACAATACAGAAACAGGTCCGCAATAAGTGGTGCACAGTTAGTCCCCATGGGAATTCCGATAACCTGACAATATACGGAATCTCCATAGCGAACAAAAATGTTATCTAGTAAAAATTCAAGGGCAGTTATAGTATCAAAGCAGGTCCAATTGACATAGTTCTTTTGTTTGTTGATAATAAAAAATGACCTAAAAGAGTTTGAACATATATATTCGCATTCAGACTTTTAAAATGCCCATTTAATCAGGTGTGTGAATTTTTTCTTAATAAGATTATGAGGCAAAGTGGTATATAGGGTAGAAAAATCAAAATTTTGAACAGATTCGAAATCACCAATATAAGCATGCAATTTATCAAGTACTTCAAACAAATTTTTGACACTCCAAAAGTAATTAATTCCACTATTTTCAAAGGCCTTATTTGAACAATTTATTACCAGGTTTTTTATTGTACCAAGTGTACTAGTAAGTATAATAGATAGTTTAGTAGTGGAACAATGGCTTGAAGACGAAATAAATCTATATTTGTAAGGAGTTTTGTGCAGCTTCGGAAGCCAGTACATAGTTGGAACTTTCATTGTATTTGGTTCTGCTTGTAAAGAGGTAGCTAAAAGCTTATGTTTGTTACAGATGTCATTTTCCGAAAATGGAGTCAGTTGGAATGTTGGTGAATTCGTGATTTCCTTTTGTAGAACTTCAATGTAATAAAAAAAAAAAAAAAAACGTCAAACATGTTTAAATGGAGCAGCCCTAAGATACAAAATTCTCTACCCTCAATATACTGTAAACCAAGTAATTTTTCGTGACTTTTGCAAATAGGAAAATAATGTGAATATAAATCATCACAAATATGTCAAATTTGGATCTTTTCTTATATAAATACACCAACAAAGTTATAAAATCACCAAAATAATATGCTGCAAAATTGTGTAGAAAGGGCTGACATGTAAAAAAGTATTTGCAAATTGAGTTGGTTTACATTGTTAATACAAAATGGTATTGTCCACTAGATATTTAACAGTTTTATCAGTAAACATACAAAAATGGAAATAACATCCACCTGGTTGATTATGATATTTCTCCACTCTAGAAAGTTATTTTATGGCCCCGCTACAAAGTGGTTGGGGCCATATAGTTTTACCCTTGTCCGTCATTCCGCATCAAACAGTTATACAGACCTTTTTTCTAAATACCTTCACATATTGAGCTGATTTTTAGAATGTGAGTCTACTATGATCAAGTGTACATTTGGTTCTGCTCTGCTGATTTTTGACGAAATTACGGCATTTGGACTTTGAAATTTTTGTGAAAATAACAGTTATACATACTTTTTTCTCAACGCCTTCACATGTTGAGCTGATTTTTAGTATGTGAGTCTACTATGATGAGTTACAGATAGAGTTTAGGTTGGTTCCACTCCAGTGATTTTTGCCGAAATTATGGGATTTGGATTTTGAAAATTTCATGAAAATAACAGTTATACAGACTTTTTTTCTAAATACCTTCACATATTAAGCTGATCTTTAGTTTGTGAGTCTACTATGATGAGTTACAGATCCAGTTTACTTTTGGTTCCGCTCCGATGACTTTTGTCGAAATTACACGATTGGGACTTGGCTTCAAACTTTTATTGCGAGCGGGGCCATTCATGTCGTTCTGACACATCTAGTTTAAAATTGTAGAGTATCTGTTTCTTTTGTGATTTAATGGAAATTGTTAGTGCAAAATGATGTTTACATATTCAATTCAATGCTCAAATATTTTCATATTACAGGGAGATTATCTTTACAGAACCAGATGTTATTGCATCACCATCTTTTGAATTAGAGTCCATATTTCATGTTGTTCTGCAGGTTTGTTGAAATTCACATTAAGAAATTTAACATATTGATGATACATTAATTTGCATCACAAAATTCTGCAAAATATCATTATAACAAATAGTGATTTTTAGGTTGAAAATTTGGGTGATAAAGATCAGTGGGATTGAAGTTTCTACATGGAAGAGAATTTTGTTTGCTCTACAATATTTAAGGACCTTTATGCTCAAGCAAAAAATCATGCCTAAAGTTTTTGTTTTGCAGATTGTTTTTAAATATTGTAAGACTTCTGATTTTCTAGAGCTGTTTACAAGTTGTGGACAGTTTTAGCTATTAAAATGTTTTTATACACAAACTGAATTGTTATCTCCCATGTTTAAAAGAAACTTTTATCTGGGAATAAATCAGGTAGTTTATTTCTGTTTCAGCAAGCACTTTTCAAAACTGGAAGACTTCAAACAAGATTTCAAAAACTTGGACTAGAGGTACTTATTTTAAAAAAAAACATCAATACTAAAAAATAATTCTATACAATTTCATCATTCTCTGAATATGATATATGTAAAAATAAGGAGATGTGGTATGATTGCCAATGAGACAACTATTCACCAAAGTTCAAAGGAAATGGATGTAAGCAATTATTGGCAACCATGTGCATGTTCAATCCAGGAAGTTACAGGAACTATTCATTTGCTTTTAGAAATACATTAAATTTGGCTGAGACCACACATGTAGCCATTCTTTGTTGATTAAATATTATGTTGTAGGTAAAAGGTCTATTGTGAAAAAAACTTCTTATACTTCTTTTTCAAATATGTTTAACTTTTCTATTTTGTTGAGAGAGAAATATCCTTTGTGTGGTATTTAATTTTGTCAAAATTGCAAATCTTCTTTTAAGGTATATAGGGGTCTAAATTGAAAATGATTGAATGTTTGAATACTGCCAAATTGTAGTTTATATCATGCTTTTTTCAAAAGTATATTAAAATGTATTGATAACAGAACATTTTTTCAAGCTACAGGTTATAAAAAATTGTCAGATTTTGTAAAGATTGTACATGAAAAAACAGTTTTGGGTGAATAGAAAGAAAACTAATCAATAGAATTTTAAAATAAATTATGAGATAATAGCTCGTAAAATGTGCTTTCGGAAAATAAGAATAAAAAATTGTGTCACCGAACTGGTTTTGTTCCTACATAACAAAACAGGTCAAATTACTGAACTTTTTAATAAATTATATTATCTGAGTTATCTCCCCTTATATGGCTAAGGTGGAGAGAAAAAATTGAATAAAAAAAAAAAACAGTCTGAATCACTGAAAACAGTCGTAATAATAATATATAATTTTATTCATTTAGATGAAAAGTATTTACAATTCAAAATGAGGAAAGAGACAACTGATCTACCTTAACTGGATAATTAGTTTCATACATTTTGCCAACCATGAAAACAAAAAAAAATCTCAAAATGAACACTAAAACAGTTGTACTCAAATATTTAACATACTTAGCTCAGATGTGATGGAAAGATTTGTATTGAAGATAATCACTTTAGCCTTCAAAGTATTTTATAGTGATTTATTACAGATAAGTAAACCATCCTTGGTCACTCCAGCACAGTATCAGTCATGTCTGAGGTATACCTTGCTGGCAAAATTAGCCCCAAACTGGAATAAAGCAGGGCAGTGGCTTATTCAAGGTAAGACTTAATTTTTAAGTGCCATGATTGGTATTAATGCTCATTTCGGTATGGTATAGTCCACTGAAGAATCTTTGAAGTAAATAGAAAGTATTCAACTAATTGGATATAGTTTTGGAAGGTGTGTTGGAAATATTATTAATTTTGAAATTTACATTTCTTTTTCCTGCCATGGTTTCAATATAGCCATCCCATTACTAATTAAAGTATCACCAGTAAATCCAGTTATGATTTAGAAACAAGCAAAGATTTACAATTTTGTAACATGTTTTTAAGAAACATTTGAATAAAGCGAAACAGAATTGCTTATATGTTGGACAAGGTATCTTCAAGACATGAGTTAAAACTGCCATCAGAAAACTTAACACCCATTTTGTGTCTTTCTGTCCATTGATATAGAAACACAATTTGACACCATTTAAAACTAGTAAGTTTTTCTGTCAGATCGCATACTAATACTTTTATATTCTAAAGTTTTTTTCTTCCTTGAATTTAAAATTATGTAAATCTAAATGTAAATGCAGAATAGTTATGTCAGATTTATTTACATTTTTGGGATACGATTGCTGTGAAGCAATCTGTAGACTTTTACGATTGACCCCTTTCCAAGGCTCTCACGTCAACCGCTTTGTGCTTTATATTAAGGAACAACTCAGATTCTTAAGATTGTTCTGTTTAAAAGAGTAAAACAAACAAACAGATTGAATATAAACAACTTTCTGTTAGTTTTTCTTCTAATAATCCGCATGTTTTGATATCTCCCTTTTTTATTTGCGTTTATTTTACAATACGGAAAATCAGTATTAAGCAGTATCTATATGTAGGGTTTTATACATTTAGCATCACGTCAAAGTGGGAACTCCACTGTTTTGTTAAAATGCGAGAGTGGTTCAGAAATAAAATTATTTCTGTCAGATAAGTACTGAAGTAGTGTTATTCCTATTATGTTACCTGTATGAAATATTGATATTGAACTTCCATACAGAAATGGAGAACCACAATTGGCATGTTGTCAAAATATAATTTTAACGGTTTGTTTATGTAATTAAGGGCTATTCCATTAAAAAGAATGTACCAGGGTCAAATGGCAATTATAAAAAATCCCGTTGGTTGTTGATGCGTTGAAGCGTTTATGGCTAGTGGCCCTTGGTGTTTAGAGAAACTAAGTATTGTTGGTTGTTGGTCTTCTTTGACAGTCAGTTTTCGTGACTGTCAGTTTCATTGTGTTATTTTTCGTTATTTATTATTATTTGTTTTTGCAAGGACTTATATAACCGATTGTTTTTGTCTCCTGCTCATATCGTGATATTTTGGAAAACATAACTGTTCCCGCGACTTGCGCAGCGGCAGGCGCAATGTTGTATTCTACCTATGGTACCAGTTCCGATAGTGCAAGAGTTACTTCCCTTTAATAATGACAAGCACATGACGAACGATGTCAAATTCTATTGAAAATAATATTCGGAGGTTCAAATTATCCGAGGTCCGCGACCTTCCACTATTGCAATCGGACTTTTGTTTTGATTACTAGCTAGGCCCGACGGACCTTCGATTTGAAAGAAAATAAAAATTAACTTTGCCGACCTTTTTAATCATCAGTATGGTCATTTTAAAGGCATATTACTATTAAGATCGTATACCCCTCCAGGTATTTTTCTAGTATTCCACAGGGTCCAAAAACCGGACCCATTCCTATTGGCTATGGCAAATACCCTACGTTTTCCCCAATTTTCAATTTGGGACCAAAACTTCCAAAACGATCTCAAAATTTATTTTTATCTTTATTATTCATGACAGCAATGCTGATTTTGTTCAACCGCTAGCTTTATACTGAAAATCGCCAACAATTAATGTGTAATTACGAGTAAAATCGTATCTGACTGACAACAACATTGAAAAACAATGGATGCCATAAACCGGAAATGAAGAAGATTAAAATACCAGATCAGATTCCGGGGGCGGATAAGGGTAATTCCTGGTTTGCCGATCAAATACAATAAAAAAAATAATAATTCCAGGCAGGTGGCAAAATACATCTATGATGATGAAATATAAACACTAGAATTGAAAACCAAAAGATATATGGAAAAGAAAGAAAAAGCATGAAATATTTTATACAGAAACTCAAAATAACTTTTAGTTCACAAATTTTCATGTCAAAATCTAATGAAATGTGACAGTAATTTTCTTTATCATTAATAAATGTTGATATTACATGTAGATGTTTTTATAGAGTATACATATATCTACAATTCCAAGAGGTAATTTCTTCTAAATTTTGAAGGGCCAGTAAAAAATAAGTTAGATATATTCCAGTTGGTTCTTGTATTATCATGAAACGACTTCCTGTTGGTTGGTGTTAAGATACATGGTACATTCCTCTTGGTCATGGGGGTACTTGCCTTCCGACCCTAGTACCTCCTTTTTAATGGAATAGCCCTAAGCGCATGCATAGTTTTCTTGACCTGGAGAGACATTAGAATAAATGGTTGCTCTGGATTCCCCACTCCATTGATTGATTTGCAACTCAAGATCCTTTCTGTGTTTTTATCTGCTATTTAGGGTTTTTGTTGTTGCATTATTAACTCAGAAAATGTAATTAACAGCGTAATGGTAGAAGTAGAAATAGAACACCCCCTCAGCCCAAATGGAGTCTTCCTTATTATAAACGCTATTAAGAAACTCACTGTTGATCAATTGTTTTTAAAAAAGTCAAATTCATTTAACATGTTTTAATATGTAAATAATCATCAGATGTGTTTATTTGCTATTATTCCTGTTTTGTTAAAAATCTTGGTAGATTGAACATGAGGTGAGGGTTTCAACGACCTTGACTACCTGGTAGATCAATAATGAACTCAGCCATTAATAGATTACCTGTGGATAAACTATTCCATTCAAGTCAGGGGTATACTTGTTGATAGAGTATTCCATTCAAGTCAGGGGTTAAAATCTGTTAAAACATTTCCTGGAATAGAAGACTTGTAATAATCAAGACAGTGTCCAGAGCAAAATTTAGAAGAAAAAAATTGCATTTGTTTGTGTATTATTAGTAATTGGAATTGGTTGGTTTTTTTTACTGTTAACTTTTAGTTTTTTTTGGCTATTTTTTTAAAGTGAAAAACAATATTCAGATTGAATCAAATGGGGAATACATGTGCAGTTGAATTATTTTTGAGAAAGAACACTAATATCAATGGCAACATTGTCGATCATATCCCTCAGAGCGATCAAGCTCTTTGATTAAACATTTTTAATTTACTTATCGACCATCCAATAGTTATTTCCCTGACAAATTCAGAATATCTGAATTCAATGTTTTCTGAATAACAACTTTTAGAAACAGACTTTTGTTTATTGGGACATTACTTGTATTTAATATTAAACTTTAAAATACTGTTTCCAAGAGTTTAACAACATTTAAATAGACCATTTTGAGTTCACCTTGCCAACTTTTTACTTGTTTCTTTTAGGGAGAGATTTCCTTACGCAAGCTGGATATGCAAATGCCATCAGTAAGTATCTAGAAATTTTTCTTTTTCAAATTTTGTATAAAAACTGACCACAAATGTAAGGGTTGGACCTTTCCTTATGTGTGTACATAAATGCATCTTGAAGATAGATAGTCACTAAAATAAATACAACAGAGATATTTTTTAATATTCTGAAAGAAGAATTTAATGTATATGTTGATTTCAAAATAAATGGCACAGTACCTATGTAAGGGAAATATCGGACTGCAAATTAATTATTTTATATACATTATATGGAGGGAATAATTAGATGAAATAAAACAAGATTTTCAAATTGTTTTAAAAGAAATGGATACTTATATGAGATTTCTATAGATTATCTGCTTACAGGAAAAAAAGAACCTTTATTTTTTTCTTGATTGTTTTCAAAATAGAACAAAACGGTTTATTTTGCAGTATTTATCTGAATGCAATAAGTTGTTTAATTCAAAAGTTACCTCCCCTCGTCAGATGACTATAATTTGTTAATTAGTCTTTATTTCTAGCATTTCTGAAGTGTACCTTAAAGAAAGATTTTTTAAACAATTTTTATATCCAAGATGAAATTAATAAATTCAATTTTTCTCTAAATGCTTGCAATTTTATATTGAATTTTTCTGGCTGTGCTGAAATGGTTATAAAATTTTTTATGGTTCTACATTGTAGTCAAGAAATCATCATATCTAATAAGTTCAAGAGCTCCCTAATCTTTGATATTACTGCTATGGGATGTTTATTTTTTAGAAATGGATTTGACAGTCACAAATGGAGAACTGTTTTTCACAATAGATGCTTCAACAGTAAGATTTCCTAGTTTAACGGTAAATATAGATAGACATTGAAGAAAAGGTTTTTCATGCTATAAGTTTTACCTCTATCATGTTATTTTTCCTGTGACAAAAGGAATGCAGGTTTTACTTAAATAGGACCATAAGCAATTGATTACTTTTTCTTAATTTAGTTAACTGACATATAACTCATTGCATTTGGTCAAAGGTACTTGGTATAATATTGAATGTCATCAGGACATTATTTGTTGATGATTGTGTTGGCCAATATTTTAATAATTTACATTCTATTGACTTCAAAATTTGTTCAAGGATGTAAGTTTTTCAGTCTTTCAATGTAGCTTTTCTATCATAATTTAAGTAAGTGCCAAGTATTAATGTTCTTACACTCAAACCAACATATGATTATAAAGCAAATTTTCTTGGACTTGTTTTCTTTGATTTGGTTTTTACCTAGTGCTGTTTAAATTTTGTAAGGTATTGAAATAAATACTGCTATGGTTACTTTTATGTTAGATTTTAGGAGTTTCATCTGAGCAACTGGTTTGTTTTTTAATTTAAGTTTTTTTTTTTGCCCTTCTGCCTTCTGTTGGTGTCTCAAACAAATGGTTTCCAGGTGGTAACTTGAGTTTCCCTATCTTTATCGGAATAGAGTTATACAGATGGAAGACATAGTGAATGGGGAAGAAGCCTATTGATTTTGAGGTCAATCAGTGAAAGTTTAAGGTCACTGTTATCAAATATAGAAATATTTTGGAAAAATGGTTTTGAGATAGCTAATTGAGTTATCATTGCTTGATTCTAATGAAAGTAATTTACTTTTCTTTTTTTTCAGATAGAAGATTTAGATGTGCCTGCTCCATGCTACAATAAATTTCTTCACAATAAATCTGCCATCATACACCAGCATTCCATTCCTATGGTATGGTGTCATATTTTACCAAGGTATTCCATTTGAAATCCATGAACATTATTACTCTTGCTTTTTCCCTTGCTTAAATGTTTTTAAAAAAAATATCAACTTTGTTAGCATTTAGAAAACTTTAATTAAAACACGTAGAAGAAAAATTAGAGGAAAGTTTACAAGAAAACAATTTCATTAGATATTGGATTCTTTATTTTGGTAAGATACTAATTTTCATTGATAAAGGTTAACCATGAATTTAAGTGTTTAACAAAATACAAACTTTGTGTTGGCTTGTATGCAGAATTAGTTCAAACCACAAAATCAATTATCATCAGCAATACAAGTTTTCCTTGGTTAAGCCTTAAACCTTGAATTTAACAAAATCAACAAAGCAAGATTACTGGAATTCATGAACTCATATTCGTTCACATAATTATGATAAGATTACACAAAAAAAGGATATGTAGTAAGATTAATGTTTCTTGAACAAATCATATATAGTAAGATAAATGTTTCTTGAACAAATCACATCTGTTTAAGTTTCTTGTATTTAGTATGAAGAAAGGAACTATTGTTAATATCACACATGAGCTACCTGATGATGGACCATTCAGATCCTATAAAGAATTAAAAAGACATTGGAAAAACCATGTATGTAAAAGTTTTACAATAGGTTTCATCGTATTGGGTTCTGACAGTGATCTTGATAAAGATAGTAGTAACACACTTTTATATTCAGAGTTTGGACCAGTAAGTTATAAAAAGTTCTGATCAAATCTTATATCATACCTAACTACCTGGTTAATGGAGATTAACATTAAACAATAAGTGGAACAGTAACTCCAACATGAAAAGTTTAAGATATGAATAAAAAGAAATGTGGGGTAAACATCAATAAGACAGCATCCCAGTGACACCAAAAAAAAACAACAAAAAAAAACATTTAACAACATACAGTCTTCAAACAGTTGTCTATATATATGTTGTGTACAAATTGTAATGTTGTACAAATTATAATTTGTACAGAATTTTTGTACAAGTTATCAGTGTTTTATGAATCGCTTAACACAAATGGATGATACAAGTACACATTCTTTTGTTTCGCATATTTCTGTCATATTTCCATGACTACATGATACAGTCTTATACTGAGCATTGATACAAAAACAGTATGAGAAGACAAAAAGACTTTTTATGGATATGATTTTGGTATAAGGAGAAACATAAAAATAGAATTTAAACCATTCAGGTGTCCTTGTTTCCAGTTTTAGGACAAGGAAAATAGCACTAAATGTAAGGTTGAAGTATATTAATTTGAATTTTAGAAATTAAACTGATAAATTTTAGAAGATCAACTTGTATCACCTGGTGCAAAAAAGTATGTGCCAAAAAACTTATAACTTGTACAAAAACCCTGTACAAATTATAATTTGTACAAACTTACATCTTGTACACAACATATATATACAATATGTGGGCTAAAATTATCCCAAGTTGGGAATAAATTTAACAGAGACAAGAAAAATCTACAATTAACACCAATTTTATGTTACTTTGTAAAATTTATATTTGGTCAAACATAATTAAAGGATTTATGTTTTTAAAGAAGGCTAGCTACTCAAATCTAAACAATCTAAAAAAAAAAAAAACATCATTATTATAATCATTGGCAATGACTTTTTCATTTCTTTCCAATTAACGTAAAAAAATTACATGCAAATAGGGTTTTTTTTGGGGGGGAGGGGGGGAGTAAATATATCGTCTGCTAAAAATTGGTGTGTCAAAGTTGATAAAAAGATAGGACTATTAATTTTATATGGCTTTAATTAATCAAGTATCTAGTATAACTTCTATGATTTTAATTTATCAAGTATCTAGTATAACTTCTATGATTGTAGTATGGTTACAGATTACCAGAAGAGGAGGATGACAATTAATCAAGTATCTAGTATAACTTCTATGATTGTAGTATGGTTACAGATTACCAGAAGAGGAGGATGACAATTTATCAAGTATCTAGTATAACTTCTATGATTGTAGTATGTTACAGATTACCAGAGGAAGAGGATGACAATTAATCAAGTATCTAGTATAACTTCTATGATTGTAGTATGGTTACAGATTACCAGAGGAAGAGGATGACAATTAATCAAGTATCTAGTATAACTTCTATGATTTTAGTATGGTTACAGATTACCAGAGGAAGAGGATGACAATTAATCAAGTATCTAGTATAACTTCTATGATTGTAGTATGGTTACAGATTACCAGAGGAAGAGGATGACAATTAATCAAGTATCTAGTATAACTTCTATGATTTTAGTATGGTTACAGATTACCAGAAGAAGAGGATGACAATTAATCAAGTATCTAGTATAACTTCTATATTTTAGTATGGTTACAGATTACCAGAAGAGGAGGATGACAATTAATCAAGTATCTAGTATAACTTCTATGATTTTAGTATGGTTACAGATTACCAGAATAAGAGGATGACAATTAATCAAGTGTCTAGTATAACTTCTATGATTTTAGTATGGTTACAGATTACCAGAAGAAGAGGATGACATGATTTATTACCAGATACATTTTAGACCCCTTGGAGAAAGACTGTTTACATATCCTTTACTCTTATATCTAAAGAAACATATAGTAAAACCTGTCTAAACCTCACCATTTAGAAAATAATATTTTGTGTGACAGATTGCTTCCCTTGCATGGTAGATACTTCGCCAGCTGTAAGCAATTGAACTATGGAAGTACTTCTTAAGCTCAATCGGTTTATAGAGCACTGACTTGTAACACAGAGATCCTGGGATCAAGTTCGGGAGAAGATTTTCTTGTAAGAATCTTGCTCTTCAGTTAAAATTGTTAGGATAAGACATTTGGACTACACATGTTTAATTAGTAAAGATGTTTCCTTAACTTCCATCTGCTGTTGAGGAGCACATCAGTAATAAATAACCTTGTAGTTAAATGGTTGGATGAAAATGTGCACAGCAACAATGATATTTTAATATATGTCCTTTCTATCAAAGAGTGATAAAATATTAAAAAAAATTAGCTAGGAAATAAGCTAAAATTATCTGTTCTTAATCAAAATTTACTATAATTTTGACAACAGAAAAATTAAATGAAGTTTTATAGGACATAAATTTGTATGCCCCCTCCATAGGGAACAGGGGCATTAAGTGTTACCCTTGACCATCCGTCCGTCAGTCATTCCGTCCATCCTATTTTCGTTTCTGCACTCTAACTTAAAGTTGGCCTCATGCAAATTTTATGAAACTCATACACAATGCTAAGAACCAAAACTCAGACAGAGTTCGAATTTGGGCCTTGAGTCACTTACCGTTCTAGAGTTATGCCCCTTTATAACTTGGAAAATTGCAAGGCTGGAGTGGGGACATTCGTGTCCTTAGACACATTCTTCTTTTATTATACCCAATAATCTCTGCTGTTTTAAAATGTAAATCTGATATGCATTTAGGTCAAATAAATATCGTTGAAAATATGTCTTTAACCGAGGTGATATTAAAGTTGGAGAAAGAGAGGGATGAATTACCAAGGGGATATCAAAATCTCCCCTTTAGAAGAAAAACAGAACAATATTGCCAAAAAGACAACAATTAATCCTCAAACATTAAAGATGAAACCAACCAAAAAGCATGGTTAAGATACATACAAACTCTGTCCAGGATTTTCTGTACAATGCAACCAAGTTATATACATGTGCATCTCTATAACATGCTCTTAATAATGAATGTCTAGCATTCATTATTTGATATTATTTCATATATTTTAATAAATTGATTCTCTGAATAAATCATTTCAATTCTTATATTTTAAATAAACTTAGAAATTAACAGTTTTTGATTTGTGCAAATTTTGTGTATTCATATTGTATTACTAATTTTTTTAGATTCATATTTTTTCCCTTAACAGTTTTCAAATACCCAGAACCATGTTTAAGAGCAAGAGATATACAGAGGGTACCTAGAGTAGACCCTAAACCTATTTTAATTTCATTTTTGCAAGATTTGCAGAAAAAGATGCCTAGAATTTGTGGATTTCCACTAAAACTACACAGTAAAGCTTGTTATCCTACTATAGACCTAACTGAAGTTACAAAGGTAAACGACAGGATTTGACATCATCTTTTCTCAATTCCCTTTACATAATGGTATACATTCTAACACTAGCATGAGACAACTGTTTTTATGCCCACTATAAACACATGTTCCTCATTAAAGAGGGCATTATGTTTTCCAGTGTGTGCATCTGTCTGTCTGTTTGTCTGTCCATCCCTTATCAGGTTAATGTTTTGGTTAAAGGATGGTATGTGGTCACATCAACATGAAACTTAGTGCACTTGTTCATTATGAAGTGAACTATTTTATATATATACCAAAAGAGGAGTTTGACCAAGATTTCATGGTTCATTTAATATGGTAATGTGAGAGTGCAAGCTGGGCAAGCTGTCCTATGGACACATATTCTTGTATTCATATAATTTACCAAATAATTGCATGTGGTTTTTGTTCTATATAGATATATTAGTTATTTGCATCATTCATAAGACGTATATTTTATTGATTTCTTTAATTTCAGGTTGAAAAAAGACCAGTACAAAATTTAAGTACGAAGATTCCACAAAAGAAAATAATTTACAGAAACAATGATGACATTCAGAAGCTTATTTCAAAAGTTCCAGAGTGTCATACGTCAAAACAAGATCATACATTACCAGTATCTTCTGATGGTAACAAACAGGCTAGTTTAAAAGCAACACAACTTCCTAATAATGTATATTTGACTCAAAATAGTTATGCAGCTGCAGATGTACAGAGTCATATATCAAAGTTTCATGAACATTGCCAAGAAAAGAATTATGATACTTCATCATATATACATGAAAGCACTTCCACTGACAAGTTGGGGATACATTTACAAGAACCATCATTGTTTGCAGGCACTGACATTGACAAATCTAGCACTTGTTTAGAAGGAAAACATCATAAAACTGTTCCAGTTTTCAAAACAGTGGTTAGACGTGCAAGTCATTATGAACAATCATCAACACAACCACAATCTCAAAAATTAGTTCCTATATTTAGGCCAAAGACATTCAAACCTTCTACAGTTCCATCATCACAAAATGAAGCTCATAATAGACAACATACTGTTGTAGACCATACAGATAATTATGTCAGTGATGTAAACTGTGACAAGAACAGAAAACATGTTGGTATTCCAAGCTTCCATGCAAAGAAAACTACAAAGGAACATTCTTCAAAAGGAAATGTGAAACAGCCATTGAAAAGGGTAGAAAATTTGAATCTCAATACTAAAGCAGCACCTAAAATGTGTTCCAATTCAGGTAGTAAGAAAAATCAGACTTTGGGTTTATCAGTGTCCAAGAAGCCTTTTGGTACAGCAGTGAATTTATCACCATCAAATATGAGAAATGTGAATGTTCATGATCAGTCTCCTTCTAGAAATACTCTGATAATGCAATCATCTTCTAATGAAAATAGACTGTCATCTTCAGCTAAATCTTACAGTTTTCAGAGACCGATGGGAACAGTACCAGCCACACCTAAATCTCATACACATGTACCTGTAACGCCTAAATCCTACACACCATTACACACTACTCCTAAAGCTAACATGTTGCTTGTTGGAGGATTGTCTTCAACACCTTGTACTCCAGCGATGAAGAGACCTTGTCCAGTAAGCATAAATATACTTGTTTTTCTTATCATTTAAAAAAAAATATTACAAATGCATGAATTATTTTATTATGTGTAGAATGTTAAGTAATATCCAGAAATCATTCAATCTTTGAATCTGAAGAGAAATGTACAATTACAAGGAAAAAAGTAAGAAGATAACTAGGGGGCGGTCAAAAACTGTAAGTTGAGGAATGACCATAACACCATGTCTTGAAGAAAAAAAGACTATGTCAAACAGTAGTCCATGAAACCTTTAACTGAAAACTAAAGATTGAGTCCCACATACGTCTTGGGAACAGAGTAGTTATTGCTTCACTAATAGTACCCTTCTTCTTACTCATGGGAAGTGGTGATAAGTTTGTGATGTGATAAACAAGGAAAGGAGGACAGGATTGTGGCTTCCACAAATGAACCATAACCATAATTATCTATCAGCTGACCTAATGTAACTTGTTCATTAAAATTTCAGTACAATTATTGTAATCAGACTTTGAAATCAACTAATCAAAATACTGTATTTGGTGGTTCAAGCAAACAATTTTTACTCGTTTTGGGTAAAGTTTTATGATCGAAATGCCTAAATTTTCCAAAACAGTCCACAGACATCAATAAAAAAAAAGTGATGACTTTTACAATTAATAGAAGCTAGATTGTAAACCAGTAATAAGACCTCTGAGCAAAGATGCTTGTCTTTAGTATGCTCAGGAAATGACTGCTGATATGATTTATTTCATAATTGATTTTGCTTCTGTGCAGAAACAGTTTGTTTTTGTCTGTTTCTGAGTGAAAACAGAATAATGCAAAATTAAGTTTCAGTTACCATAATTTTTTTGTAAAAAATTCCATTGGATTGATTTGGATTTTTAGGAGATGGCTAGGTGGCTAGAGAAAAACAGTGCTACATTACTATATGATGATACTTTATCGCATAATGTGTTTAATATTTTTTTTATAATTCAAAGTGAAATAAAAAGTCCATATTGTATTTCAAAATTTTCTATCTAGTCAAGCAATGAAAGTACTCCAGCTATGAAGAAACCAAGACCAAAGCAACAAGTTCAAGATATAGATGTAGAAATAATGGCAAGATCTAACCAGGTAAATAATAGAATCCTACCTAGAAACAAAATTGTGTCTAAGATAATATTTATGAAAGTACAGTAGTAGGTCTTGATCTGAGTTTGCATTATGTAATTCAAAGTGAAATAAAAAGTCCATATTGTATTTCAAAATTTTCTATCTAGTCAAGCAATGAAAGTACTCCAGCTATGAAGAAACCAAGACCAAAGCAACAAGTTCAAGATATAGATGTAGAAATAATGGCAAGATCTAACCAGGTAAATAATAGAATCCTACCTAGAAACAAAATTGTGTCTAAGATAATATTTATGAAAGTACAGTAGTAGGTCTTGATCTGAGTTTGCATTATGTATACACCATGCTGTGGTATATCAGTGTTTTCTTTTTTGATGATATACATTCCATGTTTTAGGGGAGGGAGGGTTCTGTTTTCAATCTTTCCACCTGTCTTTGACCTTCATTAAGAATTTAAACAGCGCATGCTGTTATTCAAATTGAAATAAAACTAGATAATATGCTTACCTTACTGCAAGGTAGTCAACTTAACTAGAATAACCAACCTATGTGAGTTATTTCCTTATTTATATAGTTTATTATCATCTATTCTCTTATTATATCCCCACAAACAAAGTAAGGTGGAGTATATAGGAATTACGATGTCTGTCTGTCCATCCCACTTTATGCTGGTGCATAACTTTTGTACTGAAAAACTTGGTTTGCCTTTGCATCATGGGCTGGGGGTGTGTCATATATATATATACCAAAATCAGGTCACTCTGACCTTGACTTAGACCTTTGACCCCTATGATAGTAAAATCCTTGTCAAATTTGTGTCCGGCTCATAACTTTTGTACTTTTAAAACTATGGTTAACCAATCTTGGTATGCAGTTGCATCATAGGCTTGGATGTGTCATATACCAAAGTCAGGTCATTCTGACCTTTGACCCCTATGATAGTAAAACCTTGTCTGATTTATGTCCTGCACATAACTTTTGTACCATAGAACTTAGGTTGACCAAACTTGGTATGCTGAAACTACATGGGATGGGAGAAGTCGTATATCAAAGCCAGGTCACTCTGAACTTGAATTTGACCTTTGACCCCTATGTATGTGTTTGGTGCATAACTTTTGTACTGTAGCACTTAGATTGACAAAATTTTGTATGCAGAAGCCCTATACTAACCTTGACCTTGACCTTTAATTTCTGAATTTACAGTATGAAAACCCAGACTTTGTTCTTGGGTCAGTATGATTCTTTCAGATTGACCTAACAGTAACCATGTATGAATCTAACAAAGAGGCAATAATAATATAAAATTAATGGCTGAAAACCAAAAACCTTAAAATGTCATTGCCTCATTCCTGAATTTCACAGCAGCAACTAAAATGCAAGTAAAGGGAGTGGGGGTATTAGTTCTGCTATGGACAGCTCTAGTTTACACTTGCCACCCTTCCAAGCTGTGTGAATCCTTAATTCTTGTCAACCATTTCATTTTTACCAGTGCTTTATAACATAGAATGTACAGATGATTGTTTTAGAAAATATACATTAAAACTGGAACTATACTTGACACCCACATCACATTTTGAACTAGTGAATGGTTACTTGAAATTATGCTTTTTATGTTTGATTTTTTTTTTGCAATTTGATTCAATAATCATTATAAAAAGTATACATAGAGCAATGAGTTGAATAAACATTTATGTGTTAAAACTAAGATTTTATTCTGTTTTATTTCAGCTAAACAAAGTTAACACAGTTACACTGATAAGCTGGCTGAAAGAGAGAGGAATAACATGCAAGGCCAAAGACAAGAAAGGAGACTTGGTGGAAAAAGCATTGAAATTATTGAATTTAAGTGTGCCTGAACAGTGAGCTTCCACAGGATTCCAATAAATGTCCATTGGTTATCAAGCTGGTGAAAAACTGCATTATTGAAAAACAGTGATATATTGTTAAAAATCTTTTGTGATATTATTACTACTTTATACAACTGTTTATTACTTTATTATAAAAATATAATGTTAAATATTTTAATTATTTGTTCATTTCAATTTTTGAGGAAAAAGGAGGAGGTGGTCAAAGTCATCATATAATGTTGATTTCCCCTTATTTTTTTATGTTGAATGTAAATATTCACCTTTAAACCATAATTGTGATAATTAATTTCCACAAGTTCAGCTCAAATTAAATTTTATCAGAATAATGCTAGGTTGAAATCAATATTAGTTGAAACAGCTGTATGCATGCGCCTTTGTCATATTTCCGTCCTATTTTGGTTAAAAAATAACTCTATAGAATAAAAATGAATTGATCACTTGGAAAAAAAATGTTATGCATAGTTTATGGTGTACATGTCACTTTCTTCTTTGACTTTTGATTGGTAGGTGACTCAGTGACAAAAAAATAGGTTATAGTTTTCAAGATTGCATGTTCAATTGTAGTCCATGTCCCTGTTGTAAAAAGAGAGGCGGAAGATACCAAAGGGAAATGCAAACTCATAAGTTGAAGACCATTTGACAACACCATGGCAAAAAAAGAAAAACAATGAAAAGACACATCAGTCTACAAAACACAACATAAAACTAAAAGACTGATCAACACAAACCCCAAGAGGTGCATCTATCACAAAAATTACAAAAGAAAAGCATACAATAAAGTACTTTATAATGAAGCATCTCAAATATAAAAAGTATCAAAGAAAGAACTATTGTAGATATATAATTATTGTGTAGATAACATATAAAATAATGATAGCTATGACTTCCAAAGATCAGATGAAAACTACAGCATGATATGATCATTTAAACATCATGAACAAACATGCTGCTAAATATGAGAGCTGTTTACCCAAATAGCCATATGAAATATATCCATATGGCAATATGATATAATAATGCATATTAAAATATTGACTGGCCATAAGGCTAGAAAAATAGTATGGTGTATGGTGGTGGCAGCAGAGAGTGGCAGAGGCTACATATTTAACTCTTTTGTAAAATACATTCCTCCTAGGCTCCTATATTTCAACTAAGAGCTAACAAATTGTCAGAATGTTTGAAGATGAGCACTACACTTTGTGTACAAATTTCAAGGATTTTTGTTGATTTACCAGATGGTGAAACCTTTTCAATTTTTATGCTCCTTCCAAAATATTTTATCATATAGCTTCTGTACTAGTCTCCAAAACAAATGGTTTCTTAATGATAACTTAAGTATCCATTGCTTGCTTGGAATGCAATTTATGAAATTAAAAGGTCAATATGCACAATTCATTTCAGGTAGGCGGAAATGGTAGCATTTTTCTTCCAATTCCTCTGCCCATACCATAAACTTGGATATGTACGATGGCTCATTTTGAAGCTGAGACAATTTCACATATGTGGTTTAATTTTCGGGGTACAAAGTGATATTCCTTTTTTTCGTAATTTAGCATACCCAAAAAGACCTTTTTTAATGCAGCCTCTTGAGGTAAACAATCCATTTTTTCACTCAAAAAGATCTTTGAAAATTCAGTCCTTTGCATACATAAAATAACTCCATAGCTTTTACACCTTTATTCTTTGGTCCTATGCTCTTCATATCAACACAAATGGTTAAGCTCAGTTATTAAAAATTGAAACATGTTTGATATCTCTGGACAGAGAATTTTTATATACATGTAGTAATCTCTTTGTCCTTCTGTCCTAGTCCCCATAACAAATGGTTTCCAGATGATACTTGAGTATCCCTTGCTTGATTGGAATGAAACTATACAGATCAAAGATATAGGTAAGTGGAGATTTTGTGATAAACAAAAACAAAAATTGAAACTTCAAGCAATAAATGTTTTGGCCAGGATGGACGAAGTCAAAAACTGACTTATAGTATGGTGATGTTGGGTGGGAGGGTGGGGAAAAGTTGGTTCCTAATATGTGTAATCAACTACTAGTTTTCAACCCAGATCCCTGAAACTTTACAGGAAGATTGCACATATGTTGAAGTTGTGCACCTGATGTTACGGAATTGTTTGAGAAATTTTCCCCCCTTTTTCCAGATTTGGGAACTTTCGTCATTTTTCTGCAATATTTATGAGTGAGGGTAGAAGATTTGGCTAATCAACTCCTCTTACACTTTTCAAACCGAATCCTTGAAACTTCACAAGACGATTGTACACATGTTGAACTTGTGCACCTGCTATTATGGAATGGTTTGAGTATTTTTTCAATAAATTTTTATTGTCTGCAACTGATCTTTGAATAAGTAAGATGGTAGAGGTCACCAACTTGTTAACACTGCCACATTTAACTGTGCCTAGCAAAGCCAGGATTTTAATGTTCAGAGGTTGTATATGTTATATACCAATATGTTTTGTACCTTCATTGTTAGTTCTCCCCCTAGATCAGTTTATATGTATTTTCACTCAATCTTATGGGTCATTCTTATGCTCTATGTCGTGTGAATTTACACTCAATGTAATGTTCTCCAGTTATTTGTGTGTTTTACATTTAAATGCATGGGATATGTATCCCGTATTTTTTTCAAAACTATATGGGATGGTCTCATGCTAGTATCAAGTTTGGGAGGTCATGGGTTAAAATTTTGGCTGGGTCAAATAAAAGGCTTTAAAATTGGTATTTGTTGCTTCTCTGCCAAGCACTCGGCAATTAAAACCAACACTGTTCTGTTCAGAGTCAAGAGTGGGATGACTCATATTTCTGCTACTGCTACCTCGTTAGCTTTTATGTGTAAAATATGAGCTGCATCAGATAGAAATCGACCTTATGCAATGAATATCAATACATCTGTTAACTTAATTCGGGTTAAAAAAATCTCTATGCAAAGTCTGTAACTGTTTGAAAATTGAGTTGACATAAGAATCCTACAAAACAGACAAAAAATCATCTATTGTTTCGTATTTGAATGTTCCAAAACCAACCAAAGTCTTGTACATGTACATGTTTACGCACACTTGCATAAGGTCGATTTGTATCCGACGCAGCTCATATCTTAACTCAGTATGTAGATCTTGTACAAAACAAGGTATATTCATATTGCTTTACCATCCTGAATATGCATGTAATATTTACTGCTGGACACTCATTGCTTGTATTAAAGATTGAATAGTGGTATATGTATTATCCACTGTTGAACTATTACCAACCAAGGATACAAAATATACTGTAATCAACATCATACTTTATGCAAGGGCATATATTTTGGTTAGCAATATAAATCCTTCCTTTATGTTAGCCATTTCGGGTTTTAAAGATCTTTATCAATTATTTTATTTCAAAATTTAAAAAGATGAAAAACATTGAACTATTATATCATTTATTCATTTTCTAAAAAATAATAAATTAACAAAACAATTTGATTGTTACATATAAAATATGATAGACATAAATAAAACTAGTGTATATAAGCATGATCCAGTCATCTAACGGGAAATGCACCAAATCTTCACATTAAATAAATATATACTCAAAACTGAAACAATGCAGCACAAAAGGTAGGTTTCAATCTCTTTAAGCTTTTAATTGTTCTTCTTTGAATGCATGTATTTATTTTAAAACAACCAGACAAATGAGGGTTGATCTGCTTTTAATGTATTTCTATTAAAAATGTAGAATTTGATTACTGTTTAATAATAGATTTGGGTGTTTAATGCCTTTTCTTCACATTATTTTAATATATCATAACCATCAGGTTTACATGTAGAGGAAAAACTAATTACTTAAAGAGGCCTAACCCTACATACACAGTTAACACATAAAATAAAAGTATAACTAAACATTTTTTATAAGGGCTGTTCAAAAAATTTATCCAGAGGGGGGATTGGAGACATTCAAATTAAATATGTGTGGTTGCATTTTCCTTAAAATTTTGTAAGAATTATGAGAAGAATGAAAATTTTATGGGTGGTCAGGGTCTTAAAAAAAATAAAATTTTATTGGTGGTCGGGTCTAAAATTTATGGAATAATTAAAACAATCACCTGGAGTTTTGATATATTATTTATATGTATCTTTTCTTCAAATTTTCCTGTGATGAAAAACAGTTTTTAGGTTAGAACAAGTCTAGTGCAATCACAGGATAATCAGACAATACACTTTGGTAGGTATATGTTATTTTTTATTTATTGAGTTATTTGTAAAAACATCCAATGAAAACAGTTCTTTGATTTTCTGCTATCTTTTAAGTATTCTTTTAATTAAGAATTAAGATTTTGGTAGAATTCATAAAGAATAAATTCATTTACATGAATAAATAATAAATCAATTGTAGCAGTTTATTTCTTTGTTTTATAAGATTTAGTGTGAAATTGAGTATTATGGAGATTTATGTCGTTATCAGGTCTGATTAATGCCTCATCAGTTATGTATACAATAACTATATTGATCCAATTAACTTTTAACAACTTAGAAGTGTAAGAGATTTCGATAGTATTGTCATATTCACCAATTGGCATGATACTTATTATAAAATTTTCCGTGCTGTTTTACATTATTTAATAAATGACGGGATGGAAATCTTATTTTTCTATTCTTAAATTATACATTGATACACTACAAAATTAAATAAAGAAGTATTTTAGAACTTACATTACTAGTCTTTTTTTCAAACCTTTGATTGTGAATTTATAGGTATTTCTAACCAGCAAGGTGTTTCCAGCTGATGACACCAGATGTTGATTTGATTTAAATGTTCAAAAGGTTTGAATAGAGAACTATGTGGCTCAGAGCATTAGATTGTTCAGGATGACAAACATCCAAACCAACTGACCAAATTGATTTTAAGTAATCCTTAAAGAAAATTTGGACAGTTAATATCTTCTGAGCTTGCATAGTTGTAAATGTCTTTATATAATGGAATGATTATGAAAAGATTTAACACAAGGAAAAAAAAATAATACTATAAAGCAGCAAAAAGCCATGACTAATTCAAATCATTACATATTTAGCAATGAACATCACTCATAACAGTTTTCATACAAGCACAACTGAATCCCCAACAGATACACGTAATAACAACTGACTTTATTACCAACAGATGGTATACCTCATAAGGATTGACATTGTCACCAATAGTTATACATCATATTATCACCAATAGATAAACATCAAAGGAATTGATATTAACACCAATGGATAAACATATAAATAGGACTTGATATTTTCACCAATGGATACATATACTGTGGATTCACTTATTTTGGTGGATACCGATTTTCGTGAATTGATGAAAATTGTAATTTCATGGATATTTGATTTCATGGTTTTGCCTAAGTCAGCATACAAGCATATAGAAAATTAGTACTTCATTAAACACTTAAATTTGTGGTATACCTTTACCAACAAGAATTGGTATACCACGAATAATAATGAATCCACAGTCAAAGGGAATAGACATTATCACCAATATATACACCTCATAGGAAGACGAGTATTATCTTACAATGCCATTCTTCTACAAAAGTTTTAGGCAAATGTATTGCACATCACATATTTATAAAGTAAGCATCTTAGTATTCATAAAGTAAGCTCATGGCCTCAGCTGCTGCAGCTCTAACACTTGCTGATTGGTCTTTCAACAAAATAATCAGGGCTGAAAGTAGAAATATTATAATTCATTGGGAAATTTACCCAAAAAAAATCCCATTGTTTATATCATTGTGTTTCCTTTTTATTAGGCTTTGACTTTCAAATGTTATAATGGTTCAAAGCAGTGTAAATAATATAGTCATTTGTTGTCTACGTAAAAATCTATTTTTTGTTGTCATTTTTAAGACTTTGGGTGCTTATGGCAGATCTTTGGAAGTCTCTTAAATGTATTCTTTACTTTGTCTAGAATCAGGGCGATTTATCCCCTGACTATTGTTGAAGACTGTATGTCACTCTACTGATTTCTTCTATGGTTTAACAATGTTTAAGCCTTGCAGTCTTTTTGACATATACCCCACACCCTCTGTTATTCTTTACATTACATTTTTAAAGATATTCCAAAATATGGAATGCCATGAGTTGTTAAAGAAAAGTTAACTTTTACTCGTATAATGAAAATACAGATGGTTAGAGTAAACTCAAAAAAACTTTTCTTTAAGCAGCAATGAAAAGAGAAAGTTATTTTATACTTAAAAAGTAGAATTGTTCAGTCATAAAAAATTTCTGTCCAAGTTTCATAAAGTTCCATGAAAGTTTGACTTTGAACACAGACTGAACCTAAATCTTGATGACACTGTGGAATGTAAAATGGCTATGTCTAGCTTCTACAATCAATTGTTGCAGGTTCAACAAAAATCAAGCACATATGATTGGGCCGAAAATTTGAAACTCTGAAGTGAAACTTCCAAACTGCAACTATCCCAGTAGAATTTTTAGTTGAAAACCGGGATTATACTACTGGTACATCTATGCTCCATATATGAGTCATTCCTTTACTAATTTTCTAATAAAATTGAAATGACTATGTAATCTTTTCCAAGGAGTCAAATTTTATCAAAATAAGGCTCATCAATATAAGACTAGCAGCAATATATTCAAAACGGCTATAAATTTTGAGAAATACTTGGGGACTATCCCTAGTATTTAGTTTTGGTCAGTTGTATATATCATATACTTCAGAAAAATAAGTTCAGCTTAGTAATAACTTGGGGAGTGTGTTTTGATATTTTGCAGTCTTTCATGTCAGCCTACAGTAAAATATACTGCATGCTCCAATTTTGTCTGTATTCTATCATAAACTATACAACAAATTACCAGAAGGCATCATAGAATATCATGTTCAGTTTCTATGCTATTTTTGTGAATATAAAGGTTTAAAACATAGTTCATTCAGTACTTTTATATGAATTTATATCAATGCATGTAACATTAATTACCTGCACAGACGTGTTCTTTTGATATTGCCACCTGTTTATCATGTTGTAAATTCCCAAGTAAATACCCTGAAATAGAATTACAATTCAAATCACATTTCATTACCATATTGATGCAGAGAAATGATGCATTATAATAAATAAACTTTAAAAATCAGGGGCCCACTATTTAAAAATGTATCCAGACATGATTACAAACAAATCAAAAGCTATGCTAGCTTCACAATTTACTCTTACATGCAGGATTCAGAAAAAATCAAGATAATACTAAAAATATTTTATACAGTAAAATTCTGACTCATTTTTAACTAGTAGGAAAACTAAACATCATGTTTAAATGTCTAAATCAAATAACTGTCACCCAATCAACATACCTGTAAATAATGCTGCATTACACTTAATTTCTGGCCACATACTTTTATAGAACGATATACATCCCATTACATAGAAATTCACTTTGTCTGGGAAGTCTTGTATCTGAAAATCAACATCAACAATCAGAGAGTATTAGCATCACATTCAAATTAAATTTGACAAGTAGAGTTATAATTTATATTACGTTTTTATAAGGCACACAGTGAGGTCTTCTGTAGTTCCCTCTAATATGCATCACTGAAATTTCAAAAGATATATATCTCAAGTTTTATTTTGAGTGTCAATCAATGATGCAAAATGTTAATCCACTCTAAATAATACTACAAAATGTGCTTTAAAATATTTGTAGTTTGTATGAGACCATTATAAAGGTTAATTAAATAGTTAGTGCAGATACTTTTTTGGTAAAAAGAAATGTGTAAAAGTTTTTGCTCAGAAAGATGTAATTGTATCAAACGTTGCTACAATATATCAGTCTTTTTCCCATTTATGACCTAGTACTACACAACATGTGTGTGTATCATCGAGGTACACCAATGTATCCTTATATTCATATTTAACTTATATTTTTCCTAGATGTAGATAGATCTACATTAACAGCTGACAGTTTTTATTAATTGTTTTGGTAAATGCATATCCTCTCAACTTCCTTAAAAATATTTTAGTATTTCAAATAAAACTTTCCTAAAAATATTTTAGAAATATTTATTATTTATTCCTTGAAATGACTGGGTTTTTCTAAAATATGAAAAGAAAACATGTAGAAAAAAAACAATTTTTCAAATGTTTTGTTACACTTCTTTGATGATATACAAATTGAATCATAAATAAGTCTTGTCATAAACAAATGTTTAGTTTACTTACGATACATTTTGCTAAATCATTCATAAACTCCCCATATATAAGATTAGCATCTTCTAGTAAATATTTCTGGAACTTATTATTAATAGCCTCTGACTCTAGCAATGGTCCTAAGAGACGCAAAGAAAACTTGCAAGCCTGAAATAAAATTAAACATTCAACCATATTTGCAAGTTGGAAAATATTTTGTTTGTTGTGTTGGTTGTTAAACATCCATTAGCAAAATGCTGTATGCATAGTAAAGAGGAAAACAAGTTAAATGATAAATCAGCTAGTATGATTTAATTGAGAATGGAAAGAGAATTTGAAAGAAAACAAGCAAAATTTGGCTTGAATATGAAATTTTGTATTTAATTAAACTACCTACCAATTCTAACAATTGTCATTAGAATGTTTTTTCAATGAAGGGAGAAATCACTCTCTTAAAAGGTACTCTGGGATTGTTTTTCTGGTCTGACCTCATATTAACGAACAAGTATAAATGTGTAAACATGTCAAAACAAAATTACTGAGTAGAATATTTTTTCCCTTACAATATAAGTAAAGCCTGTGATTTATACTGTTTTGTTTCCATGCAAAAATACACTTTGCAGGCATTCCTCAAGAGGCCAAGAGGGGTATAATAAAAGTTGAAAATGTGTTGTTTTTGATAATAGTCTCATCTAAAAGTGTTTGCTTATGTTTAGTTGTTTACTAAAATACTTTATTTACCTTTTTTACTTCCTTATCTGGATCATTTAGATGCAGTAATAAACTAACAAAGTTACTGTGTATTTGTTCTAAAAATGGAGCTTTGGATGGACCATCTCCAAACCTTGATAAATTACCAAACAAAATAAAGGCCTGAGCTCGAACTGCAGGTCTATCCTAGAAGAGAAAAACAATATGCTCTGTGTGATACTCATGAAAACATTAATATAAAGTCAATTCAATAATATTACCTTTAAGCTTTGATTTAAAAAAATAAATATTTATAGCTCAACTACTGCTAGAAAACTGCATTACAGTTGCATAAACAGAACTACCCATTTTATATTTTTGTAAACATTTAATGGGTATTGTCAAGAGATTGTGTCATGAATTGATATAGCACATCACATGTTTCTAATTCAATGACAGAGTTTGTCTGAAGTTATGGTGTATTTATTTTTGTTAACTTCTCTAATGTATACTGCTTCTATTTTTCTCTTTCTGTCTGTTTTTTTATGGAAATAGTTTTGTTTACCCTATTCAAACATTATTTCCTACAAAATCCTTATCTAGCAAGTATCTTGATGTGCCCTGTGTTTCTCAGAATGCTTGTTTTGTTACTGTTTTTCACGATGAAATTGTAAGGCTAATAATGACTCATTTCACAATCGAAATTAATTCATGTTTTTTATTTAAGACATACACATGAAATCATTTGTACAAAACATAAAGAATAGAAAAATCCAATAGACACCATACAGAGAGTATTTGCTTACATGTAAGAAATTTCTAGTCAAACTATTGATCTAAAAAATATAACAAATGGACATTAAACAACCAACCTTTTCAAAGCAAGGTCTAATTCTGAGTGAGACATTTATGAGTATTGCTCTGATATGACTCTCATCTATCTCTGACAGAATCTTTGACAGTCCAGACATGGCCTCAGTAGTGATGAGATCCTCAGGGTCTTCTTTATCATCCATACCTGCCATCATAGCTGATAGTACTGTCGTGGAGTATTGCTGTACCTGATTTTAATAAGCAAAATGTTAATTCTTTACTGTTCATAGTGAGTGACTAAATACCTCTATTTGGAATGAACAAATTTGTCTGTAATGTAAAATTACATTGGATAGCATGAAATTCTTGTGATATCATATCCTCGGCCAGCACTTTCAATAATTTCAGCATTTACCTATAAAGGACTTGAAATAAAATATTTGTAAGGCCAGTATTTACTGACCATGCAGAACACTTGTTGGTCATTCTGTTGCTTGTTAGTTCACAGAGATTTTATGTTTGTGTTTTTGCAAACATTATTTTGTCCAGGTTTTTTTTAGGATTTATAACTAATGATAAACTGTAAAGCAATTGTAAACAAAAATTGAAAAACAGATTATTGTAAATACTACACTATATATGAGAATTGTGAAAAGTTGCAGGGTTATAAAAAGACCAATACCGGATCTGGACCTGTGTCACTGCATGCAATTGGTTTTCTTTGTACAATGAGTGATGTAAAATTTCAAACTATCAGCAAACAGGAAGTGGCTGCATGGCAGATGTAGAAATAGCTTACTCACTACAACTCAACATAATCAAGCTCAAGACCAAATATAAAATTATTCTCTTCCAAAGAAGACAAGAAAAGATTACTGAAAATTTTCTGTGCACAATGGGTGTTGTAAATTTTCAAACTATCTGCAAACAGGAAGTAGCTGTGCAGCAGATCTAAAACGCTACAACTCAACATTATCAAGTTGCAGACCAAATCTAAAATCTAAAATCATACCCTTTCAAAGAAGCCAAGAAAATTTTGATCAAACTTTTCTACCCAAGATATTTCTGACGGACAGAATGAAAGAGCTTTCGCCGTTGGAGATGCAAGTAAAAATGACACCGCCTTACCTGTTGTTTCTCATTACTGGCAACATTTCCCAGTCCACGGATACACAACATCCTAACCATATGTGAGGAATCTACAAGTCTTCCCAGTAAACTGTTCATCACCATTTCTATCATATCGTCATTACCAGCACATTTCAGATTTATCAACTAAAAGTAAATTACTTGCAATTTTTAATTATAACCTATATAGCTTTTAAAGGGTTTGATATGATAATTCAATGGACTGAAGCAGTTTAAAAATGAAAATAAAAAAAGTCTAAAGAGGGGAAAATGTATGTGTAAATACCAATCATCCCATATATATGTCAAACTTTGATCATTTTGAATATGAATACCGTACATAAAAAAGTGAAAATTGTGAAAACAAACTGAAAGGCGGTATCCGGTCGTTCCGTCCCCAAACCGATCCGGCCCCAAGTCGATCCGGCCCAAAGTCGATCCGTCCCAAGTCGATCCGGCCCACGTCGATCCGGCCCAAAGTCGATCCGGCCCAATAATAAAATATGAATAAACTATATTGACTTTGGAGGATTTTTAACAGTATAAATTGATTTTGCAAAAAGTATCGATGATGGATGACAACAGGTAAGTGAAGTATTGGTGTACCAGTCAAAGAATTATTTTAAATCGATACAAAACTGAGTCTGATTGTGTCTGTTTGTATAGCAGCTTCAACATATTAATATGAAGTTATTTTTCATGATAACTTTGAATGTCATGGCGATTTTATTTTTATTTAATTCAAACACAGAATAGCTTAATAAATATTTACAGTCCAATGGAACCTATAAAATTTAACTCATCATATAATGACAATTTGAGAAGTTTTAAGAACTTAAAACAAAAACAAAGTTTGTATGTATCAGCTTGGGGATCGGCTTGTACCGTTGTGTATGTAACTATTTGTTATTACACAGGATGAAAGACTTGTTAAGATCACAGTCAATTGAAAGAAAATGCTAATTACTGCTGATTAATGTTGATGTCTGTTGATTGTACTAAATTCTGTTATATACGTTTTTATTATAATTATACCCAATAATCATGGCTTGAAAACTTGTAATGAAAACATAATCAACCTACTTGTTTTATACTCATCTTAAGAAAATATTTGTCAAAAGCCATTTTTTTTACCGTACACCTTTTACATTATAATAAAATTCATAAACATTTATGAATTACAATTAATATATATCTTTATTTTTATTCCTTATAAATATATTTTTTTATTGGGGCCGGATCGACTTTAAATATGGGCCGGATCGACGTAGGGCCGGATCGACGTGGGACGGATCGACTTGGGCCGGATCGACGTGGGGCCGGATCGACATGAAACCCTGAAAGGCATGGGGTAAGGGTTAAGGGAGGGGGGTGGTTGAAGGTATATCTTGAACTTGCTATAAGATATGAGCACTGCTAGTTCATTGATGAAGACTTTGTGGAAATAGCCCAGATAGTATATTGATTATTTTCTATGTATTTCAACAGACTATTTTGGCATGTGTTCTTTCATTTACAATATTTTCAATTACCTCTGAAAAGAAAGCAGCAACTGTAACTCTCTGAGGGTCATACAAACTTGACAAGCTTGAAGCAATAGATGTAACTATCTTTGATATGTATGGTCCTCCTACTGCACTTTCTACTAAATATCTGAAGAAAAAAATATATTTTAAAAAAAACCAGTCTAACACTATGGATTATTAGTACACAAATATTTTAACTTAAAGTTAAACTTGTAATATCCCATGTAATATTTGCACAGTGTAAAGTTTAACTTGTAATATCCCATATAATATTTGCACAGTGTAATACACATAATGTGGTACTGTGGATTCATTTATTTTCGTGTGTACCAATTTTCGTGGATTAAGGATAAAAAGAATTTCCTGAATATTGGATTTCATAGTTTTACAAAAGTCTGCATACAAGTGTATAAAAAATTTGTACTTTATTGAACACTTAAATTCGTGGTTCACCTATACCCATGAAATCCATGAAATCCATGAAACTTGATATCCCGATAATAATAATGAATCTACACTCTACAGTAACTATATGTATGAGTATGGAGTTTATCAAACCTGTATTACTTGTTTGTACTATATCATTTTAACTTCCTAGCACTATCTAGATTTTGCTGCATATTACTAACATAAACAGGGTAAAAGGTAGTTTTAGGAAATGAGTGCTCAATGAATCTCATTAGTCGCATACGATAATTTAAAAGAGCTGTACAAAAAGTTTTATTTGATGTTGTGTTTTCAGAGGGCTTTAAATAAATAAATAAAGCATAAAATCTCATTCAATTAACAGTAGCATTTAAAAGTATTATAAAAGTATAAGAGTAACATCTGTGTACTATATTCAATATATGACAAAAAACATTCTTTTGGATATGAAAATATGAAAATTCTCCTTTGTAAAAACTAGGCTGTATAAAACAACCCAATATCTGTAACAATTCTTTTATGGAATCATTATGTACCTGCACAATATGGTGACACTTTCAGGATACCTTTCTTCATCTTCAAACATTTCCCAACAATCTTCTTTGTCCAGTCCCTCTATAATGTCGTCAGACTTTGACCTCTGTAGAAATGACCGAAATGCCTCTACAGCTGCCCTACATATTAAAATCGTACACACTATTGTAATTTAAGATCTAAATGTGAAAAACGTGACCAGCTGAAAATTCCATTGAATTGAATTTCAGCATGTCCAGTTCTGTACAATGGTTCTTGTTGCAATAAAATATCTGTTCATCAAAATCTTTAAGATGTATCAAATTATGCATCCATTGACTTAAGAAACAAAATACAGTTACTTATGGTTTGTTGTACATTTATAACGGCAAATTGTCTTTGAGAGAAGCATGGGGCACAAGATTTTTCAAAATTTCTGAATCTTGCATTGAAATTGAAAATAAATCACAGGAAATATATTTCTATTTTAATTTGATAAATGTGCAATAATGATCTTTTTGTTAAAAAAACACATTGTGAGGTCATTCATTTGTATTGGTCTTAAAATATCAAATGAAAGGCTATGGATGACAAAATTTGAAGAACTACTAGGAAATAACCAATATATCAAAGGAACAGCTTTTTACTTGATGTTCTTCATCTTGCCCTAGTTGTTGGTTAAGGATTTTAGGAATAGGATCATTTTACTTATAAGCAATGAATTTGTTTACAGACCAAAATTACAACATATGACTTACAGCCAAAGAACAGGAAGATTTGACTTATAGAAAAGGGTAAGGGACATTTAACTTACAAGGCTATACATTTGACTTACAGTATAGGAAGCAGACTTTTCAACAAAAAACCTAAACCTACAGGCTTTGAACAAGAATATGTTAACTTACATAGGAATAAAAACATGTGACTTACTGACTAGGCACAGTAACATCTACACTTTAGTAAAAGAAATATTTAACTTATAGATGAGGAACATTAATACTGTAAATTCAGAAATTATTGCGTGCATTTATTATTGCGATTTTGTCATTTTAGACTTAATTGCGATTTTAATTTTTACGATTTTGAGAAAAATCATGTTTAATTCATATAAAATATTTCAAAATGCGAGTTTAAATTATTGCGTTTACAACTCTGTCGCATTTTTCGCAATAATTAAAACCTCGCAATAATTTCTGAATTTACAGTATTTGACTTACAGACTAGGAATTGGAACTTTAGATGATGGAGGTGGAACAGATTTCTTTTTTTCTTTGGGTTTAGTTTCTTTTTCCTCCTAAAAACAGAAATCAGACAATAATAAAAAGGATTAAAATAGGCAAACATAAGATCCAAAACATTTTGGATTTAATTGTTCATAACAAAAGTTCATCAAGAATAATGCTTTATCATTATTTCATAGAAATTTCAGTCAAACACTGTAAGTAAATAAGTAGATTGATATTGACTTGTGAACATGTTTGTATTATATATCAAACAGATAAACACATTTTTACTATTTGACTTTTGGTGTTGAACATGAAGTAATTAATATTACATGCACAATCAGTAACTAAAGCCTACAAATTTTCAGAGCTTAACATATGAAATGAAAGCTTGCCTATCATTGAGGAATGTATAAATATAGTTTTCTTGGTGTTTTTTCTTATAACTGAGCTGTTTGGTTCCTGCCTCAATGAAAGTTATCCAATATATCCTGTTATATTTTTGCTTGCATGTTCAAATCTAGTATATGCTCAAGAATCTGAATTTGTTTGTATACCAATTATAAATAAAGTAATGTCTTTGTTTATACTACCGTTGTTTTCATTGTTTTCATTGCACCTTTTAAAAGAAACATTTCTCAAAGTCATTAAAATTGCAAAAAATAAACCGTATTTAAAATTTTAAAAACATAACCGACTAGAAGTTGCACATGTTGTCATGCTGAGCATTAACCCAATCGTAATTCAAAGTACCAAACAACAGGAAGTAGGTGATTGCAAGAAAAGTGTGACAGAAATATATGTTGGAAGAAAGGACAAAGGGATAACAAGGTGAATGCAATATATTACCCCATTCCTAGAGTAGGTGTATGAAAAAGCTGATGATCCGACTTACCACAACAGGTTTTGGAGGCTTACAGTTGATAGAGGAACCAATTCTTATAAGAAGAGAAGAAAAAAATCTGTGATAATTCTTCTTAATCACCTCTTCAGATTCTTCAACATCAAATATAATTTTTAAAGCACAAGTAACCTGCAAAAGAAAAAAATAAGATGTCACATCTTCAACATCAAGTTTAACATTTAAAGCATAAGATACATGTACCTGCAATAGGTAAAAAAAAACCAGTTGTATTTATGTGTCACATCTACTATCAAACACCATACCTAAGTTTCATTGAAATCCATTGAGACATTTTAGAGGAAATTCAATATAATATCAAAATTTTTAGCATATTTTTAACTTTTAACATTAATTACAGTTTACAGTACCATAATAACACTGTAGATACTGAATGCTATGTTACATGGCAAGACATTTTTTTTTTTTACATCTGATGTGGATTTAATTCATATAAGCAATTATAGGTCAATTAACATAAAAAAAATAATTTTGTTTGGTAATGATAACAACAGAAAAACTTACAGCTAATGGTTGTTGTGTAGCAATTTTTGTAGTTCTGTCTCCATCTTGTTTTTCTTCATATGGTAATTGTCTCTGAAGCATGTCCAACATCTGATCAGTGAAACCAGATGTTAACATGGGATCCTGAGATAGAATCTGCCATATTGCTACTATATTGCTGAAATTGAAATTACATGTTTACAGTTGTTGTATACTGTGGAATCATTAATTAATTACTGTAAATTTCCATTTTTCTAGAGAAGCTGCTGTTTTGTAGATATTTAACTTGATGATTTTGATTGTTTTCCTTCAAAATTACAGAAAATTTGCATTCAACTCATAAATTCAATCAGGGACTCTTTTTACAGCTTTTCTATAAAAGCATGCAAAGCAAACCTTTGATCAACTTGCTTGCTATGTTTGTTTGGATGTTTGTAAACAACAGGTAGGTAGTCTATTTCAGTCTGTTTACTATATACTGGAATTTGATTGGCCAATAAACATTAACTTCATTTAAATGTTAAGTTTCACATTGTATCAATTTGTATTGTCCAATCAAATACCAGTATATATTAAACAGACTGAAACTCCGCCTACCCTTTTGTTTACAAACATCCAAGCAAACATAGCAAGCAAGTCGATCAAAGGTTTGCTTTGCATGCTTTTATAGAAAAGCTGTAAAATAATCAACAATCATGTCTGTCTTGCAGGTTTCATATGAGGCTTAAATTAAAATATTGTTTGTTTGCAGTTTACCGACCGACCCTCGAAAATCCGCCCGACTGTGAAAATTTTATTGCTTTTAATTTGAAGAAATTATTTTTATTTTTCTATTGACGCAATCAGGAACTTCTAGTCGTTTCCGGAATTGATTTAAAGTCTGGGTCGATTACACGTTTCAAGTTCGGTTTTTCTTACCTTCTTGTCAAGCGTACATGGGACTGTTTAATAATAAAGCACATGGAGATTGTTTACAGGTATCGATGAAGACATGGAGGAGTACTTTGCGCTGTCGTTTTCTGTCAATTTTAAAACAAATAACAACCAAAAAAGTTTAATAGTAAACTGTTTATACAGATTCAGACAGATATCATTGACGATTTGAGAACGCATGATGCAGCGGATATTCATAAAACCGACACGATAACCGTTTCAATCTCAAACAGATCGGGTACAGAATCTCTTGAGCCTGACTTTATGGAACCAATATCAGTGGTTAAACAATTTGACAGCAGCCTGAAGTATGCCATAGTTTCTATAAAACGTTGTGAAGACAACAAGGATGAAACCACTTCTCCATGACTTCATGGATACCTGTAAACACGCCAGGAAGGGCGCATTTGAAATTTATAATCGATAGACAATGCCAAATCTATAAGAAGCCACAGAAACTACACAAAGATGTAAAGAAAATGAATGGTTGGCTTGTAAAAATAAATATACTTTCTCTATGTTAAATCTATCTTCTATTGCAATGAGTATGCTCCTTTAGGATAAGGGGAGCTACCCCACTCATTGCAATTCTTCTCCCTCTTACAATATTAAATATACCCAAACAGTGTGGCTTGTGTGAATTGAATTAAAACATGTCCTTAGGAGCTATGCTGCCATTTTTTTATGCAGTCAAAACATTTCAGTACAGACCATTTACTTTTAAAGGGGTGCTATTGATTTCACCCTGAAGTCTTAAGATTTTTTTTTGGTTTTAATTAAATCCTGATCACATCAACATATCTTTCAAAATATAACCTTATTACATATAATTAAATATTGTTAGATTTATGAAAACAGTCAGATGTCAAATATATTTTTTCAAGTTTTTTTTTTTTTTTCAATTGAGAAAGATTCAATGGTTAATTTTTTTTATTGATAACACTCTTACATTGTCTTATGAATCTTTGATAACTACATTTTCCTAATGAAAATACTCTACTCATGAAAACTTTCTAGTAAAGAAGCATATGTCAGTAAACAATTTCTTTAAAACAATTCTAGTCATTCCTTGTTTATAAGATCTTATAAGTGTTCCAGTACTAGTATTTAATAATGTCATAAATTGGATAATCACACCATGTTATAGTTTCAATTTTGGTTGAAAAGTTTTTATCTGAAAATGCCTTTTCATTTCATGTTGGTTTTCAGTGTTTGTTGTTTTAAAAAAAATTTCTTCACAAGAAACTTGGTTTGTGTAACTGCTTGTTTAAACTTCATTTTGGCTGATAAAATAAAATATTTTTCCTACCTACCGACCCTTCAGTCTAAAGGTACAGTCGGAAAACTGCAAACAAACATATTTTTAAGGTTGGCCTGACCTTAAGCATATTTCAGGTGCATTGGTCAATTTTAAGTTTCATGATTTTGTCCGTTTATAAGTGAGATGATGTGCTCTAGAGATTAGCCTCTTACCTATCATAAGGCAATGGATAACTCAGTAAAGCCTTTAATACATTAGTGAGATGATGTGACGACAATGTTCTAACAGATCTTAATGTACCAGTTCTGGTCTGATCAAACTCAATCTGACCTAACTTATCATGAAGATAACCAATTATACTGGAGACCTGCAATGAAAAAAGTTCAGTTAAATATTTAAGGAGTTAATATTAAATTAGCAAACTTTGTAACTAGTAGTACTCTACAAAGACATAAATCTGCAGAAACTTCTAACAACTTTGTAATTTCTTTATGAAATTTTGACAATTTTCCCAAGAAATAAAGCTGCAAAATTGATGATTTATTAATTTCACTAGTTACTTAAAGCTAATTGATAAAAGAACTATTAAAAACCCCCCTCAGATTTGTAGTTGTTCATAGTTCTGGTATATATCTTAAGCTGAAAATGTAAGAAGATTATGCAGAAGGTTTCAAAGACTAGATTTGTCAAACAAGGGTAAAAATTGCTAACTGCTGATTTAACAAGTCAATTCCTGTTTACTCTGAATATTAAAAAGTGTTGCTTCTAGGCACTTTTATATGAAAACGGGACAAAATCAATTACTAGTGAAACTGTCTTTTTTAAAGTGGCTCTGGTATAAAATTGCATACCCACTGCACAAAATGTCACACATGGGAGTACCATATAGATAAAAATATATTGGGTCTTGTAAAAATATATTAATTTTAAAATGATAGTTTCAATCGATTAAAATGTTGGATCATTTGCCTTTTTGTCGTTAAACTATGAAGTTTGTCATTTTTATTTCCAATTTTTTGACACACAACAATTACAGTAGTGTGCGGTAATTCCGCCCGTCCGGTAAACCTGTCCACTCCCATTTACTTCCGTAATTGACACTTCCGTGAATATTTCGTCTGCTATTTTATTCATAGGAAATGTTCTTATCATCACTGCATGTCAAATTTTAAAGAAAAATCCTTTATTACGAAAATATCTAGTGATATATATAATACTGTTCCTAAAGCTAACGATAATCATATTATTGCTTACAAAACTTATTTCTGACTTGAAATAAAATTTTTTTGGGATTATCTGGAATCCCTTTATAAGTGGTCTATTAATAGATCACTTTTTCCTTTCATAAATATGTGATAACCTGACCCTGCATACATATTTATGATTTGTCAGTGAATCGATTTATAGTAAACTTGATACAATTTGTATATAATTAAGCAGAAATACATATGATCAAAGCCTTATGTAGGTGCATTTACCGGACTTCATCCTATGATGACGAGAAGTGAGCTTTTATCAAAGATGGAAAATTGGGAAAATTTAATATATACTATTAGGTTGATTGGTATATGATGTATAACAGGTATTGATAGCCATGCATATTTATCTGTGGCTCCAAATTACTTATTTTTAAGAACCAAATTATTTTTTCTTTTCCTAAAAAAAATCAAATATTTGTGTTTAAAGTTAAATATATTTGTTATGGATGACCTATATTTTCATTTGGATTATTTTACTACGCTTTCTTATAAATGCTGTTCTGACAGCTGATTTTGATCTTAGATGAATAGTGACCCCTTAAAGTTTTTCACCTTACTCCAAAATTCAAAAAATGCCAAAATTAGATTTTTCTACTTTAAGTTCTAATACTCTCAAGCCATCGTAACTGATAAAAAAATTAAGGACTTGTGATACTTGTTTACAAAAAAGGTTATATACCAATGAATTTCAACAAATACTTATTTCAGCAGAAGTGTAAATGTTCGACAGTAGTTTCCTTTTCAAGTCTGCCCATTCCTTATTGTTTACTGCACAAAAATAGTACATGTATTCTCTTTGTGACCTAACCTTAACTAAAATCCACCCATATTACAAGGCCACATATCCTCAAATATAAAGATTTTCTATATGAGGATGTCAACTACATATATAAAGGTAAATTTGTAACTTTTTTGGAGACATTGTGTCAAGCTTTTTTATTGCTGTATTAATGAAATATTACATACCTGTTTTGATACTTCACTGCCTCTGGCTTTAAGAATGCCATTTAATACAACACATGCCCCAGATGAACTGTGTGACTGTGGATCCAATAACCCTTCTTGCAACACATCTAAAAATTCTATCAGTTGACCACTTGGTAACTTTTTAGCAATTACCTAAAAATAAATAAAACAGGAATGCATGCATTGTCTTGCTAAGCATACCCTCAGTCTAAATTCAAAGTACAGTCGAACCTCGTTACGTCAAAGTCGAAGGGACCAGATCAAAGTATTCGACTCATCCGAGGTTCGACTCATCCGAGGTCGAGTGTGTCGTAGAAATACGGTATGAGATTTGCGTAAACTAGATACTTTGAACAGTGTGCCTTTTTCGATATGACACACTTTATAATTGTGTATGCAATCGCCATCGTTGGTCCTTCATAATAATCAAACACACAAGAACAGATACAAATCATGCCCAAATAAAATCAATAGTCTACACAAATATTTATAAAGGTCAGTCACTATAAATTATGAAATCATTTGCGGAACGAAATAAGTTCTGAACGGTTTCTGATGAGGGTGTCTGCTGTACATTAAATTATCATGAATTAATCATAATTGTCTTAAACCTTTATTTATTGTAATTAATGAGTTTTATTTCTAACGATTGATTTAATCTCGGCTATTGTCATTTAAATTCGTTTCGTTTTTATCTCATGTAAAATATGTTCAACACACTAAAGTTCCGCTTGAACAATCAACAAAGGTGTTAATTACCGGCAACCATAAAAACATGTCAATTTAACTGTTATACAAACAAGCATGTTTACTTAGCTTTAATCTCTTTTGAAAATGATTAGGTTACATAAGAAATACATCCGATTTGAGTTTTTATCATTAGGTCTGTATCTTTCGAAAATTCTTACTTTCGAACTTCGAGACATCGGGGTCAATTTACATTAATCTTATATTGAAGGGACTATAAAATTTACTCGACATAACCGAGTATTCGAATCAACCGAGTTCGACTCATCAAAGGTTATTATGCATTGATCAAACGGGAATGTTACCGGGACCAAGAAATTACTTCGACTCATCCGAGTTTTCGACACAACCGAGTTCGACACAACGAGGTTCGACTGTATCTGAAAACAAGAAGTAATTTTCCCACAAATCCAAAAAGTAATCATACCTTATAACTCATCATTGTCAAGTTGCTGACCAAATATGAAGTTATTCTGTTGCATAGTTCATGAGAAAAGTGTGACGAAAATATTTGTTGGATGAACAGATGGACAGACAAGGTGATTGCAACATAGCCCCACTTTTAGAGTAGAGGTATGATAACTGTAAACTACTGCACACATTTGAATCATACTTGCTCTGGTGATTCCACAATTGTTAAATGAAATATGGAATGGGTTTTCAGCATGTATATATACAAAAAAATCTCAATTGTACCTTCGCATTATTGACTAATGAAGTCCCTAGTCTGGATATGTTTTCAAGCTATAACCAGGATGAAAGAATTGTCTTTCATAGAGTTGGACAATTATCAAAATCATTGTAATAAATTACTTTGCTCTTCATGGGCCCTTAAATTGGAATAAAAAATTCTTCATGGGCCCTTAAATTGGAATAAAAAATTCTTCATGGGCCCTTAAATTGGAAAAAAAATTATTCTAACTTCTCTTATATATAAAAGACCAAAGGACAATGATGTGAAAGCGACAGGTCACTGTTTAACACTCAACAAGGTGTATATTTTTAAAAATATGAAGAAAATAATAATGTAATGCCTTGAAAAAGCCATAGCGTTGAAAATTTGTGTAGTATTAAGGTTTATCTTAAACTTGTTGGTGAAGACTATATATTCATTGTTGAAATGTTTGGCAACCATCATGATGAGGAGCAGCAATAAAACCCTGTTATTTTCATATTCTAGTATAGAGATTTTTCAGTGTTTCATGGGTATGGTATATCATATAATTCCATGTAAAATTCCTTCTTCTTAAAGGGAAAATTCACGATTTTTTACTTATCATCTTAATATTTTTGGATTTGTGCTTTTTTATACATAATGAACATAATATTAGTTTTTCATTTTTTTGTGAAGTTTCCCTTTAAGTTATTCCATAAATTATAATGCTTTACCTTGGCAAGGTCATTTATAACACTGAATAAAACATTTGGATCATCTTTCTCTAGCCTTTCTTTAAGTGTACACAGAGCATCAATCATCTGATCTGGCTGGTCCATTGAATTGCCTACAAAATATTAAAATATCAATATACAAATCATAATATTTTAAATATCTCCCATCCCATCCAATCCTTCATACTTAAAAAAATTAAATAAATTCTAATTCCTGAAATTTTATGTCTACAGCTTTTTTATTTCAATTTTTGATTTATAAGTATGGAGTACAACTGATTTTCCAACTGATTGTTACAGTTTGTTAATATGTTGTGCTTTTACACCACTTTACCAGGTTAGGGGAGGGTTGAGCACGCACAAACTCATTTAACCATATTATATATGTGCCTGTCCCAAGACAGGAGCCTGTAATTCATTAGTTGCTGTCTGTCATATTTGTTTTTAGATTTTTGTCATAAATTAGGTTGTTGGTTTTTTGGCTTGAATTGTTTCACATTTTGTAATGTAGCTGACTATATGTAAGGGTTTTGCTCATTGTTGAAGGCTATAGGGTAAAGTTGATTAAATCTACGTCATTTGGACTCTGGTGGATGGTTGTCCCATCAAGGAGTTCTAAATTTGTTTCTTTAATCTATTCTTAGCAAATGATTTTTGTGATGACAACAACAATAATATTATAATAATGTTACATATCATAACAGAGATTATCAAGTATGATATATTGTTTTGTTTACCTGCTATTTTTGAAGCAATTCTAAGTGTACACTGAACACAGTCCATAGCCATCTGTCTAACTTTTATATTAGGATCTGTACATCTAGGCACTAACTTGGCAAGGATGACACATTCAGTAGGAAAATCTGTTATATTCTGAAATCAATTTTATCTATTTCATGTTTGATAGGCTAAATTAATTTGATTTTCCATTCATTATTCTTTCAATGCCACGTGACAGTAATTCAGAATTTTTTGCCATGTTTTTATATATGCATATAATGGGAATGGGTGAGTATTGCAATAATAAGAACTTGCGTTCTGATATCTGATATAAATATCTGTATAACACTTTTCCTGAAATCGCAATAATTAATCTCGCATTTTTTTTTCAGACTTCAAAAATCGCAATAATTTCTGAATTTACAGTATATAATGGCAAGGAGTTTAGTTGCAGTCAACAGTCAATGCCAGTATACATATATATATTTATATATAGCACAGTATAACATTGTAGGATACAGGTGTAAACCTGTCCAGTCCTTCCCTAAATCCACAGTAACTTTTGTGATCGTGGGGGGAATACTTTATACTTTTTTTCAAATTCAGGTATTAGGTTGGAAATTAAGCAGAAAATTGATTCAATAAATCAATATCAAGTTTTTACCTTCCAAATTGGTACAACATTGTGACAGTCACATCTAAAAAATCAGATCTACTTACATTTGAACTTGGTTCCATATTTTCTAACAAAAAGGTTTCAACAATTAGAAGTGTTGTTAAACTCCTTTCTCGCTCATACTCTTCAAGAGAAAGAAACCATTTACTCAGTTGCTGAAAATGAAAATACAAAAATAAATCCTACAAAAATCATGCTTTAGTTAATTAGAAAATCAATAAATACAATGAAAAATAAAAAAAAAAATGTTTAACATTCTTTTTTTGTCTGAATTAACTTTAAAATCATTAGAAATAATATGCTGTTCAGTTCAAAGGATAAATTTGACAATTTTGTTCAAAGGGCAAATAAGCTTAGCAAATAAAATCTACAATACATATGCATTTCTTCGGTGTATAAGTGTGTGTTTGTGATTTTGTCATACATCAAACTGAAAATAAATTTTGAAATGAATTGACAGAAAAGAAAGAGATGATAAAACTACATGTATTTCAAATTTGGTCCCATCAGGCTTAGTAATCTCTTACCTTGAATATAGTATTTAGTCCATTAGGAGTGAGATCTTTGAGGAGTATTTCTTTAAGTAAGTCATGTAAAGCATCAAACGTTGCTGACATCAGCACTTCAGCTTCCAATGTCTTGTCATAAGATTCTTCTTTTGCCTTCTTTGATACTGGAAGACCACCAGGTGGCAGTGGATATATACAGTCTATACTGGTTTTCACAAGATCAAGTTCTTCTGCCTCGGATAAACGGGGATCCAGTTTACTAATGAGTTAAGAATTTTTTCATGTATAAGTAATTTGTGAATTTTTATGATTGAAAGATTTCCGGCTTTTATGCATGACTTTGAGTCAATTAAAGAATTTGTTTTAAATGAGTGACTCCAAAATTATTCCATCTTTATTTTTCAATAATTATATGTGGACCTTAACAGTGGATGCTTCCGGACAATTTGCAATAGTTCCATAGTTACAGTCATTAAGAGTAATTCTTAACTGGGACTATTTTAGAGCCTATATTAATTGCAATAATATATTTTATATATAACGTAGTGGGGGCCATAAAGGTTAGACAGTTGGGACATCCAAAAGATTTAAAGAGGCAAACAAATAAAACTACATGTATTTCACCAACATTTGGACCAGCAGACTTAATGATTGCATAAATGGGTGTAATATTCCGATGTCCCTTTACTACCAATTGCAATCTTGTTTGCTGGGCAAGATTTTAAGACAATTTTTAAAGAATTCTTGCTGCATAAAATTTTCATGTCCTCAATATGGAAAAGCCTTGATTTAAATTGAAGTTATTTTTTTTACCAGAGATTATATGAACAATATAAACTTTTTCTGAAAATTTTTAATTCATTTAAATTTCAAGTCTAAAATGTTCAAAAATTATCTGAGAAATTGTACTGAGCTTTAGACAGATCCAATTATTCTTTTATTTGTCAATTTAATTTATCCAATGCAGATGTAATTTTTTAATCTTGGCAAAAGGTTTAAATTTTCAGTTTATACAAATTATTAAACAGTATTAGAAAAGGTATTGCTTGTAGTCTTTTTAAAAGGTTTTTAAACAGTCTTTACATCCTTATTCAGTATCTATCATAACAGATGTCAAATTACTGTAGCATTTCTCTTGATCAAAATATATTTGTTTTTAGGCTTATGATAAGACAACCAACAGAAATATCTATTCATATAAGGATACACTAATGTTGAACAAGCATTCATTGCTAAAGCTCTCGTTTCATTGGTTAATGATGTTGTACTCTCCATCTGCATATAACTCTACAACATTCAAGCATTGAATAATCATTGGAAGTCATATAATCTGCCTGTTGTCAAATATTTTTTAAGTTTGTTATTATTTTCCACATATTGAGGATTCAATTATTTTCATGAGAACCAATTTTCGTTGTCTATAAAAAGTACTATATTTGTTTGTTTCTTGTACATTATAAAATAATGTCTGTAAAAAATGCCTTCATTTTGTCTGTAATATAAACAATATGAAATTTTGTCTTGTATATATCAAAAGTAATTTTCTCTCAATAGTTCTTTAAAATTACAACTCATATCTTATTTTTACATTGCCATAATTATTCCAAGACTACCTATAAAACTATTATGATCATTCTGTCTTTGTATATGATGTAAAAAGGTCAATAACTTTTCAGTAATTTCCAGTTTCCTAATACAATGTTTATTAATAAAAATGTGCGACAATGGTAAAGACAATTGAGCTTTATATCACCCAAACATACGTGGAAACATGTACAGACATGTATTAACTGTGCTGTGGTGGGAAACATGGTATTGAAAGGGTAAATTGAAAATTTGACAATAATTAGAAAAACAAAATGGTTTGATGCAAATGTTTTATAATATGATAAATGAAAGTCTGCTTTATCAATTACATAGCTATTCAAACGTATAAATTTTTTCTTTACTAGTATCATACAAAAATACTGTGTAATAAAATGCCTGTGTCCAAAGAAATCATTCTTGCCTGCTTATTTGTCATTGATTTCCCTTAACACACAGTTCTTAAACAAAAACAAATCTTGAAAAAAATCTTTTTTCCAGAGAAGCAGAAAGTTGGTCATGTCAAGTTTTGTTTGTTTCTTAAAGGAAAGGATTTTTACTGAATAACAGTACCAAAGGATGTTAATGAAATGATAGTACATGTATTTTATTTTTTAGTAATTTAGTTATTTAATTTCAAAAGAATAATTGAAGTGTGAATTTCAAAAATGTCACAAATAAATGTACAGTTAATAATATTAGTTCTAAACAACTAAAACATAAGAATTCGGACATAGTAAAAAAAATCACAAAGCGAATGATGGCCACGGAATTTAATGTTAATCGGATCTTGTATTTATAGAACCAATTCTGACAGTAACATATGATGGATAGAATGTTAACGTGTGTAAGATAGATACACACTGTTAAACTATGAATACAAGAAAAATCTATGGGGAATGTCCTCTAGTATATATTATGCTTAGTTTATTTTACTATAAATATATATATGTTTTTAAATTTTGCAAAAATTAAAAAAAAACTAGGAACCCATTTATCTTATTTTAGACATACAATGGCAAAAATATAATTTTGGGATATGAAAGACAAGCTTAAGTTATACAATAGATTCACAGATTTATTTGCAAATGAAAAATTCTTGATTTATCCAGGGGAGATAACTTATTATTCATTTCAAGGATTAGAATAATAAATTGTATTTTGGCTTAATGTAATAACTTAATGTATTTTTACACTTACAGAAAGAGGCTAAATAAAGTATTAAACCAAAATGAGAAATTGCAGTACATTTTATAGATTTATTTTTTTTATTATTAAACGAAATTACAATACAGTTTATAGAGTTGTATTCATTATCAAATGAGAGATTACAATATAGTTTATAGTATTGTTTTTACAATTAAATGAGAAATTAAAAAACAGTTTATAGAATTGTATGTATTATTAAAAGAGAAATTACAATATAGTTTATAGTATTGTTTCTATTATTAAATGAGAAATTACAATACAGTTTATAGAATTTTTTTTATTATTAAATGAGAAATAACAATACAGTTTGTAGAATTATATTTATTAATCAAGATTGGTTTAGTCAATAAAGCCAGGATTGGTATATTTCTTAGACAAAGGTTTGTGATAATGGTTTGATAATGTGCATTTCATTGTTTCAGAATCTAAAGAATTCTGGGTAATTTTTTATAAGTGAACACCAAAATATTGTGATTGGCTAATAACATCCTAAACAATGGATATCCAACAAATGACATATCATTATTTTCATTTCCCAAATTACCCATAATCCTTTAGATTCTGAAACAGTGAATGAGGAAAACAGATCCAGTATATACCTGCAGATGAGTAATAAACTCGCCACGGTTACTAAAATTATATGTTGTTTTAAGATGATCTGGGTGTAACGCATCACCAATCAAGTCGAGCGTGCGAATTAGGTTTTGTTTAACTGATGTATCCTGACAAACCAAATTAAAATAAATACATAAAGAAAATACAACATGCAATTGATGGTTTTCCATGAAAATGGAGAAAAGAAAAGATTTTCTCAAGAACGAATCTTTTGTCTGAATTTTCAATATTCATTAACTTTACATTAAAATCCAATGTGTACTGTCTTATAAATGAAATTTAAAAAAAAGTTAAAATTTGAATAAACCAGTTTGGTTAATATATTAAAAATTAAAAAACACAAATTGAAAATTACTTATATCATTCAGTCTAAAATCTACATAAATCTATCTTAAAAAGAATTGAAAAACACACAGAAAACAAAAAAAAACCTCTTCTTTCTCCATTTTACAAAAGATTACCATAAAAACAAAAACAATTCAAAATTACCTTAACTGAAGATATGAATTTTTGCTTTGGTATGAAAGAATGAGATTTCTTCATTATCTTAGGATCAAAAGCTTTTCCAATTAATTCGATTGTCCTGATTAAACATCTTCTAAGATCTAGATTGTGGGCCTCCTGTAAGTAAATACTAGTCAACAAATTTCATTTCAATGTAATATCCAGTTTTTTCTGTTTAATCCAATTTAATATATCCACTTTAAAAATCTATTGTACCAAAAATAAACATTTTTTTTTTCCAAATGTGTATACCCTTCATCTGTATCACTGTGGCAAGCTCGCTTCTATTTGTCAAGCAATACTTGAGTTGTCAATTTAGTCAGTGTTTTTTACCTAACTATCACGATAAGGTTTCAACACATTGCATACATGCCTACTTTTCAAAATCTCCATGGGCGATTTTAAGAGCAAGATTGATTGATTAATTGATTGTTTGTTGCTTAACGTCCAGTGGCAAATATTTCATGCATATTCAGGACGAGAACAAGTTAACAATAAATACAATAGGTAGGTTCTGTAATAGATTAAGGGATTAAGGTCGGAGAAATTTAGACTGCCACGGGAAATGAGGGTATATTGGATAGGGACAGAAATTTAGCCTTGCAACAGGTCACCTACGGACCCCTCAAAGAGTTGTTGCAAGGGTTCTTAACGTGCAAAGAGCGTGGCACTCTCTTTACACGAGGCATCGGATTTAACGTCCCCATTCTGACCGGACATGGCTGCAAATTTGTACATCCCGCACAGTCAAACGGACGCCCCACTTAGGCACAGGTTTTACTGCCGGTTGGAGGAAGACCAATGGTGACCATACTTCTATTCCCCAGTCACCCTTGGGGGTTTAAGAGCAAGAAGACCTTATGCCTCTGTTGTATTGTCATAAGTGTTTTAATCTACTCTTATATTGTTTGAATGAGTATGTATGTGCTTAAATCCTTTTCTTTTTTATCTCATTTAAATACCTGTTTTGAGATATTTAGTTATATAATAAAGAATTTTCAAAATTCAGGTCAACACCTTTCATGGGGGAAATCCCCAATAAATCGTGAAGGTTGGCAGGTCTGACATTGAAACACTATGAGTAAACACCCAGTTCAATAATTATGGTTGTAGTCTATGTGTTGCCTTCAAACTTCTTTCTTACATTAATAAACTATACCACAATGCATCATATCAGTATAACAAAAAGGTCTCATCATTACATTTACCAGTATTGTTATACTTTTCCAAAAAAAATGTACTTTAAGTATCTTACAACTTCTACAGAATTACAATTTAATCAAAATGTGTGATTACAATGACACCAAAAAATAATTACCTTAACATTAGCAAAGTAAGGCTGGATACTTCTAAGGATTGTAGCTTCCATTCTGGACACAATGAGAGATACTGGAGAAAACAATGCTACAAACCCATAACACAACATCAGGGTTGCTTTTGTCCTTTCGATATCTACTTCCGACTTCTCACCCTATAAATAGAAACCATTTTATCAGCTTTATTTTTACAAAGAAAATAACATGTTATAAGTTTGGTGCATCTGAAGCGCTTTTTTTGGATTAACCTTTATCAGGAAGCCTCAAAAACACAAAACTTTGAAGTCCAAGGATGTATATCTACTTGAATACAAGAGAAGCTAAGGTCAACTTTGTCTAAGGGAGTTGGAACCTTAGTTTCTTAATAATTTCCAAATTTACCAACTTGAAAGCACTGACTACCATTATCTAGGATCATAGTTAATACTCTTTTAGTCCTCAACAGCCTTCCTTCGAGTATTTGAAATTTCTAAACAAAAAATATTTAACCAGGCTACCAAGTTATGACTACTGTACTTATAATTGATTCATTGGCAATCATACCACATTGCCTTATTGTAACAGCAGTCCCAATCTTATAAAGACACCACTCACCAAGTGAAAATCTTTGCCATTTTAGATGTTTTAGAATAGTTACACATTTTATTTTCATTCAACAGTTTTTATAGAAAGCACACTGGGTTTGCCCCAACAAATAAACCTATGGAGAGATTGAGTGGAGTGAAGTTTCATAAAAGAGTTGGCAAAAATATACATTATAAAAGAACTGTACAAAAAAAGTATTTGAAACAAGTATCAACCAAAAGGTCAGTGTGAGTATGAGAAGAATCTTACATTATACTGTGAATTTATTTATTTTCATGGGTACTAATTTTCATGGATTGAGGAAAAATTGTATTTTCATGGATATTTGACTTTTTGGTTTTGCCAAGGTCTATACATGCGTACAGAAAATTTGTACTTTGTTGAACCTTTAATTTTGTGGTTCATGAATGAAATCCCCTAAAATTGGTATCCCATGAATAATAATTTAATTTTGGATGTAACGTGTTTTCTGATTGGCTGACAGTGTTTTATTTATCAGGTCATGGATATAATTTTGTCATGTGACCGTGACGTCATCAAGGTTTTTTCATGATTTACTCTGATTTAAAATGGAATTTAGAATTAAATTATAAGGAATGACTGTAATATTTTTTCTGTCTATTCGAAATAACATCAAAAATGTGGTGCACACTATGCGGGTTATTCAGTGTGCACCACATTTTGGATGTTATTTCTTCATAGACAGAAAAAATATTACAGTCATTCCTTAAATAATGTATCAACAATATTGTAGCTTCTAGACAGTCAACAAGAGATGACAAGTTTTATAGCAATTTCATAAAATTAAACAGAAAAAAATCAAAGAGATCTATATAGTAGGACGAAATTCCTCCTTATAGATATTCAATGGTTTTTCAAACAAGAGGGTGTTTTCAGCTACAATCCCATCGAAGGGTTACATCCTCAAGTTTGAAAGGTCATTGATAATCTGTTTATGGCTGTTTTCCCAAGCAACATCAATGACAAAAGTTCATGACGTCGAACATTCTCTTGCTACTCAATTGAAAGAAATCAATATCACTCGAGTAGTGCGAGATGAAAAATTATCATATGGAAAGATCAAAGGAAATTTAAGAAAAAAGTAATAATAAATGTTATCAAACTGGTCACTGAGAGAACAAGTAGTAAAAACCATAAACTGTGCCATAAAGATCAGTACAAAAGAAGTACTTATAAATCAGATAAGCTTATATTTACTGCAAATTTGTGGCTGTCAGTTTTATAAAATTTCATATCATCAACATGCATGAAACATAATGTTATACGTCAGACAGGAGCATGAAGAAAAGATGGTCATTATTACATTAATAATATTTTTTTCTATATCAAGTGCGCTTAGATTTATATCTGAAGCAGATTTACTAACCTTGTTTGCAGCAAACCCTATCTATTTCAAAACACATTTTTTTGTTAGTGTGTTAACTATTTTTTATTGTTTTTCCAATCAAAATATTCTTTATAAGTGACCTGTTTTAAACTTTGCATGATTAATTGTAAACATCGCTAAGTCTGAGAAATAATTTTGTAAGTCTAATGAGACTAGCTAATAGCATTATGGAAAACTCATCACAAATAGGCTTATAATTCAATATGTCAGATAAGGCTCATCAGCGGCACTCAAACCACAGTTTGAAGGCCAAAATCAATAACAACGATGAAGAGCATTTAAAACCAAAATTTCCAAAAAGTTGTGCAAAATCTGGCTAAAGCCATTTATGCCTGGAAAACCATAAAATCCAAATATTTGGAATTTAAGGATAAATTCAAATTAACCATATGGCTCACCTTCCCCAATTTAAATCCCTTCCAATTTGTGCTCTTCTGCATTTATATGTTTTACGAAAGTTTTCTTGTTAGGAATTCAACCATGTATTGTACCGGTAAATAAGGTTGAAACACTGATATATAATTTGTAAAATCAAATCTCAATATTTTATTGGACCAGACTAAAACTATGCTCTTGGCATAGTCTGCAGATACGAATTTTAATTGTAAGGTTTGATCAATTTTAGAATGCAAACAAATCAATTTTTAATGAACTTGCTATTGTGAAACAGCTCTAATTTAACATATTGAAAAAAAAAATTATACATGTACCTTCATAAAACTAAACAATCCTGAGGATTTTTGCTGAAGTTCTGTTTTGGCAACAGATTCTAATTTGGATAGTACAGCATCTAAATGTGAAGCCGCACAGAAACCCATGGCTATAGCACATCCCTGTAAATATAAATTGTATTTTATAATGGTTACATCCCAGTAAATACACAATATATATTACAGACTATACATTTTTTAATAGCAAAAGGCACTGTCCTGTCAATAACAGAAATCAAAGATATACCCAATAAGAAATCCAAAGCATAACTTACAGGTTACCCCCCAAAAAAGGGAACACTTCATATTTTTCAGGAAATTATGAAACTCATCCTTTAAAGAAAAAAAAACACAGAAAAGAGTCAAAATCAATCTTCTTTTATTTTGTGATAACAAATCCAATGATAAATTAAAAAAAATTCCAAAGTTGTTCCACAGAAGGATAAAAACAGTCCTAAACTAAGTTAACTGATGCAAACAGTTTAGCAACATTTTTCAATAAAATTAATCTTTAAAAATTGAATGGACCTACCTCCCTCTCTGTCTGATCTGTATGTTTCACTGAACCAAATATTAAATCTAAATGTTTTCCTACAAAATCTTTCTTTGTTGATTTTCTTGTAATCACACCAAGACATTTATACATGAAGTTCTGGAATATAAAAAAAACATGTCAACATCATAATCTGAGTAATTAAAAAGTATCATAAATTAAAAACAATATATGATACTGATTTTGTGTCCACAACAAGATCCTTTAGGCATTATCTTCCATTAATAGGTATGCTCAAGATCAAAGTTTAGAAAGGAAAAAAATTCCATGCTTAAGAGCATAAATATCAAATGGGTCTAAAAGCCAAATCATATCATTTATAAATGAAAATTCATGGACAAACTGTAATAGACAAACTGTAACATTTAAAGCATGCTAGCACCAAAGCACTGGCTAATGAGGTAGAGGAACCAAAATTTCATACTCATCTTATCTTTTATCAGACAACTACGTGTATTATACAGAGATTCAGCTACATGTACATTGTGTTATTACATTTTGGATGCTGTCATCTGTACCTGTACTCAATACATATTTTTTTCAGTTTTTATATCCAACCTTTTCTTCCAAACAATTGTTACACTTTTCTTCAGAATAGTTATTATAAACAGGTCTCTAACCTTGTTTTCTTACTTCACATGAAAATATGAACTTTTTCTTCTGGAAATTTATTATACCCACAGTTGTTTTGTCACCTTCAATTTTTTGTAATATATTACATGTAAAACTTCTTTTTTTCAATAAAATATTGTTTTGTAATTTCTTGTTGGATTTCATTCAACTTGGTACCAATAGAAACAGAAAAATCACAGGTTAATTTGTTTATTTGGCTAATTTTTTTTGTTATGAAGCATTCTCATATTCCAATGATATAAAATAAATGTGTAATTGTATGAAATATCTAGCAAATAAAATGCTGGGGTGCAGCTTGATACGACCGCAGAGGTTGAACCCTGAACAGTTGGGGCAAGTATGGACACAACATTCAAGCTTGATACAGCACTGAATTTTGATTGTAATTAAATATTTGACACAGCATAGGTTTCTCACACAGAATGAAAGTGGTCTAAGAACTTAAAAAATTTTTAATTTACCTATTCAAACCATATCATTATTATTTGCTTTTATATATAAATCAGAAAAAACCAATTTAAAATGGAAAATTTTAAAGAAAAAAAAGGAAAAAAAAATTCCCCCCCCCCGATTTTTTTAACCCCCTTATGATTAATCACCCCCAAACTCAATCCCAGCCTTCCCTTTGTGGTATGGTACCTTGCAGTACAATTTCAGAGAGATCCATACACTTGAACACAAGTTATTGTCTGGAAACTAGAAAAATGCTTGTTTTTTGGCCCCAAATTCCAAAACGTTTAGGGCAATTACCCCCAAACTCAAACCCAGCTTTCCCTTTGTGATATGGAACCTTGCAGTACAATTTCATAAAGATCCATACACTTACACACAAGTTATTGTCCTGAAACTAGAAAAATGCTTGTTTTTTTGCCCTTTTATGGCCCCTAATTACTAAAATTTTGAGGGAATTACCCCCAAAATCAATCCCAGCCTTCCCTTTGTGGTATGGTACCTTGCAGTACAATTTCAGAGAGATCCATACACTTGAACACAAGTTATTGTCTGGAAACTAGAAAAATGCTTATTTTTGGCCTCTCTTTGGCCCCTTATTCCTAAACTTTTTGGGCAATTAAACCCAAACTCAATTCCAGTTTCCCTTTGTGATATGGAACCTTGTAGTACAATTTCATAAAGATCCATACACTTACACACAAGTTATTGTCATGAAACTAGAAAAATGCTTGTTTTTTGCCCCTTTTTGGCCCCTAATTCCTAAAATTTTGAGGCAATTACCCCCAAAATCAATCCCAGCATTCCCTTTGTGATATGGAACCTTGTGATACAATGTCAGAGAGATCCATAGACTTACACACAAGTTATTGTCATGAAACTAGAAAAATGCTTGTTTTTTGCCCCTTTTTTGCCCCTAATTCCTAAAATTTGGAGGCAATTACCCCCAAAACCAATCCCAGCATTCCCTTTGTGATATGGAACCTTGTGGTACAATGTCAGAGAGATCCATACACTTACACACTACTTATGTCTGGAAGTTACAAAAATGCTTATTTTTAGCCACTTTTGGCTCCTAATTCCTTAACTGTTGGTACCATAACCCCCAAAATCGATCCCAACCTTCCTTTTGTGGTATTGAACCTTATGGTAAAATTTCATTGAGATCCATTCACTTAAACTAAAGTTAGAGTGCGAAAACTAATGTGTCTTCGGACGACGATGACGACGCCAACGTCATACCAATATACGACCACAAAATTTTTTTTGCGGTCGTATAAAAACTGTAGGTGATTCATACGTGATTGCATAACACTGTAGGTATGAAACTTTTCCTTTTTATTGAACATAAGAATATAAACTTATTTAAAAACTTATTCTCTTTATAATAATTATTACACATGGGTATCTTTTTTTGCCTATCTTTTATTCAATTTAAGAAAGATTAAAAATGAACCTTAAAGTGAATATTTTCCTCAGAATAATTATCATGAATTTGAAAATGAAAACCTTTTCTTTAAGACAATTATTACACATAGATATCTAATATTCTGTATTTAACCTTTGTTAGGCTATTATTACACATAGATATCTAATATTCTGTATCTAACCTTTTTAAGGCTATCATTACACATGGATCTCTAATATTCTGTATCTAACCTTTTCTTTCCTAATACATGTAGATTTAGACTTAATAACAATGCGAGCAAACTTTTATACAATCAAAGCAAGCAAGCCAACCAAAGTCTTAATCTACATGCATTAGGAAATTAGCTCTAACACAATTTTTACACATAGATATCTAATATTCTGTATCTAACCCTTTCTTTAAGACAATTATTACACACAGATATCTAATATTCTGTATCTAACCTTTTCTTGGAACAATATTTATATATAAGTATCTTACCTTTTCTTCAGGATAATTTTTATACATAGGTGAGTATCTTACCTTTTCTTCAGGATAATTATTATGCATAGGTATCTTACCTTTTCTTCAGGATAATTATTATACATAGGTAAGTATCTTACCTTTTCTTCAGGATAATTATTATACATAGGAATCTGTTGTCCAAACACTTCTCCAAGTTCTGCTATCCATTCTTCGTTGTCTACTACATCTAAACTTTTACTTAATAACTAAAAAATACAGCACAATAATTTTGTCATGATAACCTGTTCACTAAAATATACATGCTAGGTGAATTTAAACAAAGGACCTAACTCAAATCAACCATAAAATGTATTCCAACATACCAAATTACTCATTGCAAAACTTTCTGTAATGAAAGATAAATTGGTTTTATAGCAAAAGGTTTATCTAAAATTCTTCTGCTAAACAAAAAGCACATGAATTTAATTTTTCAAGCATGATTCTGGCTGATCATATCTTTTTTTGTTCATTGTTTTGTACATAAATGAAGCCATTAGTTTTCTCACTTGAATTGTTTTACGTTTGTCATTTAGGGGTCTTTAATAGCTGACTATGCAGTATGGGTTTTGCTCATCGTTGAAAACCGTACGGTGACCAATAGTTGTTAACTTCTATGTCATTTGGTCACATTGGTAATCATACCACATCTTTTTATTTTTTTATTTTTAAACTATATGTATTGTAATAACGGAGGGAAAATTATTATTATATGCATGAAAATAATACCAGTAAGTATAATGATGTACTAATAAAGATCTTTTATAATAGTCAAGTTTCTTAGCCATATTGTGACCTTGACCTTAAAATTTTTACCTTGGCACCAAAAAAGGAATTAAGCTCTCTCCAAGACACAAATTACCTCTGAACTTGAAATTAAATAGGGTTCAAGTTGCTCTATTGTAGAGTTTAATATTTGATGACTGGATTCAAGACTCAAGTTTTATACAAGTTACAGCTTCCTAAGTCATGTTGTGACCTGGAGCTTTGTCCTCTGATTAAAGGATGAATATAAAGTGGACAAAATTTGCTGAAGATTGGATGGAAGACTAACAATGTTAAGGACCAATGGACATACAGATGAGCAACAAACAGATCCAAGAAGAGCAAACACATTACCATGTCTCCTTACAACTTCTATGAGATATCTACTGGTCATTATAACTATTGAATGACATTTTACCAATGCTAATTTTTCATACCTTAAGAGACAAATCCTCCCAATTCTTCTGATTCCAACTATCTTCTTTACTGGCATCTATAAAATATACCATAGAGTTCAGTATCACAAGTATTGAAGAAATATTGTGGTGCATCCATTTATTTATAATTGTGTAGACACAAAAATACAAATTTTTACTATTCCATGATTTGATTGGCCAAATAGGGTAATTATTTTTCAACATTTGGTTATTAAAAAGCTATTTATTTTATGGTCCAACAAACTATTAAAGAAACTCAACTTAATCAAATTTTGCGCTCACTGAAGAATCTAATCTGATGGTGCAATTAGTGGTAAAATAAGTATGTCTACGCTCCACCGGCTTTAGTAAACAATGACCTTAAAAACATGGAAGTTCTTAGTTTTTCTTTCTATTCACCACTTTTATATGTATATGGTTTTTTCCAACAGCACAGAGATAATTTTTTTGATTTTTTTTTGTAAAGTATGTATATTTTATACTTAAACTTGAGCATTTCCAACCCCGATTTTTAAGGATGGTATGAACCTAGCAGGTTCAGGGGTCATTACTCAAAACAAGTTCTACTGTATCATGTACTGTAAACAATACTCAAATATCTCACCTTCCAAATACTGGATAAGTTTAGGTATAACTGTGTCCCATAGCTCTACAAGATTTTCATTTAAATTAGGAACCAGTCCCTGCATTAATGTGAGTACATGTATCCCTCTGTTTCGACCATTCTGTGGTCGTCCGGCTAGAACCATCAGTCTAGCTATCAAAGCTTCTGGTTTGGGAATATTGGCTGAAAATTATACATTTAATGTAATATATTTTCCATATTTATATAAGGCTGACACTTATTGCTTTTAGAAACAAATTTACCTTTAATATTATGAAGAACAATATAACAAATGGGTTAAACTGAAAATAAATCCAAATACACTACATGGACTATTCTAATATGTTTGCATTTAGTATACCATCTTTTGGTATGTATAGTGCGCACATTTATACCCTGGGTCATGTTTCTTGTAAGAGGGGTGCGCGTTATACATGCCTACAGACATTTTCTTAGTCTTTTTTCAGGTCCAAACTCCGACAAAGAAATTTCCAGGAGAAGTGAAGAGTACGGAATATTTTTGCTAAAACCTCGATTGGTTTTATGTTTTACATGTTATATTTGTAATATGTATCTTATTGTTCTTGATTTGTCATGTTTTATTCAAATAAAAAAACACATTTTATATCTCTGTAGTTACGTTTATTGTGTAAATTTGTCCATCTGTTTGCAATCCGGAAATTTGCCATGTCTTAATAAAGACACAATAAAGCTTTTATTGTTGGTTAAATTAGCCTCTGTGTTCCTTGTTGTCATAACTTACTGTTTTTGTATGTGTTCATCATGGAGAGTAGAAGAAAAGTGTATGAAAATTGAATAAACCACGCTCGTTTTGAAAAGATAAACTGCTATTTTTTCTAATGTATCAGGTGATCGCCAGTCATGTGGGTCAGTCATGTGACTTGATATTGTAAAGTGATGATTTAGTCTATGAGAAGTTTATTTTTATAAATACATTTCTACTTTGTAACTTTTAAACAACTGTTTATTCAAGAAATTATGATTGAAAACATGATAATCCCATAATTGTAACCTGAACGAATTTAATTAGGAACCAGGTGAACTTGTTACTGATTTGTTTTGACATCGATTAGACCCGTTGATTGAGGTGTGATAATCCGGATTAACAGCTAGAATCAACAAACAAAAAATAAAAATAATGAGATTTTAACAATTTATTACAACACTAATGATGTTAATGATAATCATTTGACTGATTCGTAATTATGTTATTGTTTCAATCAGAACATTAATTTGGATATTTAATTTTGTCCTTGATACTCAAACAATTTATTAAATTTGGTTTTAAAAAAACAAACTTAAATGTAGATTTATCTCAATCTAATAAAATTCTTATTCATTTGTCAGAATATTTGCAATTTCATATTAATTACGTATTCCGTACGGAATTCTCCGACATCAGTGTCCATTTAAAAAACTTCCTGTTTACCGATAGACTTCCTGTTTGCCGATTTTGGAGCTGTAACTTTTCTGAAAATGTCTATAAGTCTTATACAAACAATAAACTTTTTTTCTCACGTTTCTTGGACCATAAAGGGGGTGGGCACTATACACAAATGCACACTAAACACCCCAAAAGATAGTACAAGGGCCTTTTGAAAGCTTACCTTTTTGTATGGGATCTTTGCTCAATGTCTGAAGACTGTATAATGATCTGTAGTTGCACAGACGGCATTTTTTTTATCCTTTGGATTTTAGAGTATAGCTGTCTCATTGGTAATCAATTTTGTCATATTTTCTTAAATTGGGATAACAACCTTGTGTCGCATTAATCATTCAAAGTAACTATTATAAAACCTTTCAAAAGCATTTTTTCTGGTGAAAGGTTTTCATTTTATATTTCAAATTCTTTATATGCCCATTCAGAGTGATGTTTAAGTAGAAATTGCAAAATTAGTAAAATTCATTTCAATGAAGAAGACTGAATAACTGAACCCAAAAACTAAACATTCCTACATAAAGACTGTGAAAATTGCAAAAAATTCCATGACCTAAAATGAGGATTTACAGACAGTAATTAGTGGCCAAAATATTTTTAAATGTGACACACAACTTAAAAAAAAAGAAAAAAATATCTAATTTTGATCAATCATCCATTGCACTGACTATTGCAGTCCTAAACCGCTTGTTAAGATATAAAACTTGCTTCTTAGATGGAGTACTACTTTAAAAGTTAAGTTGCATCCAAACTATGGTGCATGGCATAAATAAAGAAAGAGAACTTATCACAATATGAAACTGTACATCCTACATGTTCTGTGTGTTTGCACATAATCAGTAAGTGATTGATCTAATCACTGTGTATTCCAGCTGTAATAGTCTATTTTGATATTACTGACTTTTGTCTCCAAATGATTTTGAACAGGTTACATACGCAGTGGTTCAGCATTCTGGTACTTGGGTCAAGTAAGAGTAACTAAAGATGTAAAATCCAGTTAATGATCAGTAATTTAGGGAAAAAGTTAACTGTTTTATGTTTTCTATGCACAACAAAATCATTGGAAAACAGTTGATTTTTTCCCCAAATTGCACTGATTGAAAGCTTGATTTTACTTCTTTTAGTTGACCCAGTACTAGAATGTCCTACCACAGAGTAAGTAACCTGTTGAAATAATATTTTTTCTGGAGTCAAAAGTCAGTAATATGAAAGTAGTCTATTCACTTCTTGGGATACGATTTGGTTCATCATATAAAATTCAAGAACTGTATAACTGATGAGAGAAATGCTGAAATAACAATTTAGGTTAAAGTATGTAATAAAAATAATGACTCACCTTGAGTTTCAAAATCTATCTCATAATCTTCTGTTTGTTCTTTCCTTTTTTTAGTAGCCAAATGAGACAAACATTTGCAGACTACGCCTTGAGCCTCTGTATATTGTTCAGGGACAATGAGTTCTAACAAATATGGCCATAAAACCTAAATATATATAAAAAATAAATTGAAACATTTGTACATAAGGTTGTACTTTTAGCCTCTGTAATTTTTTCTGTGACAAATGACAATTCGTTCTTATATATAGAAACCACATAAAAAGGTTAAAAAGGACATTTATGCATTATGTTTATGTAAATAACATGATATTTCTCTTCAAAAGCAAGTTTAATATGAATAAAGTGCTGGCTTAGTCAGTGTGAAATATATAGTTCAGCCCATAGGCCAAAGGTTGGCAATTTTATTGAAAGATTAGTTAAATTGGTGAAAATTATAATTGAAACTTTTTGGGGTTAATTTTAAAAACAAAACCTCATAAAAACATATTTAATGATATGCCCTATTTTTTAGAACTAATAAAGCAAATATGGTCATAAAATGTCCATTATATTTTTCTTTATTTTCTTCTTTCCTTTTTTACTCTTGTAATTTCTGTTGGAACATTGTCCCTGTTTGTAAGGAATACTTGTGTAAAGTGAAGGCTAATATTATCTTACATGCTCCATGTCCTCCACTGTGGTTGTCAATAACTGTAGAACATGATCACACATAGTACGCAAAGCTTGGTTGGACACATACTCAGGATCTGGTGACCTTTTACCCTGAAATATAAACATAACAATAATCATATATGGTAGGTGAAGAATGCAAGAGTTGTTGTACTATTAATGGTAAAAATTTAAAGAAGTTGGGCCAAAAAATAAGTCCATGTGATTTTTTTTCTAAAGAACATTGTACATATACTATAAGAGAAAACTGTCTTGCGTTAAATCTAATAGACTGAATTATTATCCTTAACAGCATTCATCTGATTGTTAATTGACACTGGTTCTACCCACAAAGTCTTGATTGTAGCCCAACAAATAAATTATAGGTGTGTATTGATGAATCTCTTTAAAATGGGCATTGCATAAAATTTCAACAGTAAAAATTATACTATCTGATAAATCGACCTTGCTTTTGCTCAACTTACCGGAGGGTCATTTTTGAGTGCAGACTGTTTTATGATGAACTCTATCATTTGTTGTCCTCCTTCTAGTTCTAGATAACCATGATGTGCCATGGCAATTACAACCTGGGCAAATACTTTCTTCAACTACAAAGAGATAGGTTACATTAATATTCTACAATACATTAAAATCTGTCAATAATATTGATGCATTTTTTTTTAATTGCAATAACACTGATAATGTTGTATCACCACTGTCCCAGGCAAGGGAGTGGGGCTAAGCTTTCACAAGTATGCTTAAACTCACCACATTCTTTCTGTGCCTTTCCAATGTCAGGAACCTGTAGTCCAGTGCTTGTTGAGGTTGCTGTCTGCCATAGTTGTTTTTCTTTTAATGACAATAGTCTTAACTGGTCTATTAGTTTTCTCCTTTGAATTATTTCACATTTTTTATTCAGGGGTCTTATATAGCTTACTATATATACAGTACAGGTTTTTGCTACTTTTTTATGGCTGTTTTGTGGCCTGTAGATATTTACATCCTTGTCCTTTGGTGTTTGGTGATTAGTTATATCATTGACAATCTTACCACAACTCCTTATTTTTATAACTTGCATCAAAACAACTAAATCAAATGTAATTTTCATGAAAAACGTTTGAAAATTATTATACATACATAAAAAAAATGAACACAAAAAATGGATAATGTAGGAATGTATTATTAAGATATTTACAGAATATAAAACAAGAAACCAGTTGCACATAATTTCATGATTTTTAATTTTAATACATTAGAGTCAATGATCTTCTGTCTTTAGAGGGTAATAAAAGTAGTTATTACCCGTATAAGCAAGCTATGACTTCAACTTGAAATGTATTTTTTGTTATTTATCTTTCATGTTTATTGAAAATAATACAGTATTAAAGCTGCCTTGAATATATTACTATCTAAATATTTTGGAAGTGGTGGTTAAAAATTCCTAAATAAGCAGTCAATAAATTGCAACTGTAACAGCTTATAATCTTTTTCATGGAAATAATTAAAACATATTTTTTTATTTGTAGGACTTCGTATTAGTGGTCATGGTTACCTTGTTATTCTGTTCACTGAGCATCATTTTCAGACCAGACACAACAACTTCCTGTTTGTCGTTCATTGATTCAGCTAGAAATATAATATAAAACAGTTATGATACTAAGTAAACACAATGGTCAGCGATTCCTTAAAAAGACATGTTTGTAATGTTAAAGAACCCTTTCAACAACTCTTCACCAGTGGCCTTGATTGTTGGTTATTTAAAGACAAATCCTTCCATTCAGATCAATTCTCATCATAAATATTTCTGTAATATTTACCACTGAACTTTAAGTAATTAATCATTGGTTAGGATGAAGCTACTTACAGAGATCAGAAACTTAGAATTAGTTATACTGTGGATTCATTATTATTCGTTGGATACGAATTTTCGTGGGTTTCGTGGGTACAGGTGAACCACGAATTCATATGTTCAACGAATAACGAATTTCTATAGGCTTTGTATGCCAAGATTGGAAAAACCACGAAACAAAATATCAACGAAAGTGCAAGTTTTCCTCAATCCACGAAAATAAAGGAATCCACAGTAATCAGAGATGAGTTACCACCTTATTAGATTCGGGATTAAGTTATTTACAAGACTTTGGCAGGTAGAAAAATAATGTGAATATAAATCACTTTCAATGAGTCAAACACCAATCTTCTCTTACATAAATACATTCAAAAAAGAAATCCCAAAAATGAATTGTTTCAAAGTCAGTTAGAAAGGGCTAAATGCAAAAAAATAAAGCATCTGGGAAAAGGAGGTGGCTTACTTTATTGGACCTAAAATATATTTCTTTTATTATAATGTCCTCTCAGGAATATTTTGTGTTAAATACACCTATCTCAATTGTTTTTTTATGAATGAGTTACACCTGTTGACCATAGGTCAATGTGCTTAAATGACATCATTGAACAAGCCGTTCTTACTGTGACATAACATTATGACATAGGAAATATTCAGTAAATGCATGAATTTGAAAGTCATCTGTATACCAGAATATACTTATGAGCTAGTGTACTCAATGGTCTAAAACTAGGTACAAGTTTTCTCATAATTTGTGATAACTTCGTTTTTTGTATAGAGATCTTTTGCACTTAAAAATAAACTGCTTCGCTGAGCACAGCTGGATACGCCCGCAGAGGTCCAACCCTGAACAGTTGGGGCAAAAATGGACACAATATTCAAGCTTGATACAGGTCTGAATTAGGATTGTATCAAATATTTGACATATTATAGGTTTCTGAATAAATGTAGTCAAAGAACTTGAAATTGGTTATATGAATTGAATTGAAATTATATTCAATTAAAGATTTCTTGCTGTTGTGCAATACACTGTTGCGCAATACTTAGTAAATCTGTTGTCAGACTATAAACAATTAAAGTTCACAATTAATTCTCAATGTCATATTAGAAATTTATGAAAATGTAAAGGGAGCTTACATCAAAAGATATAAACAATTCACCAAAGTTTCATGAGAATTGCTGACAGCATTTTTGAGTTATTGTCCAAAACGGGAAAATCCCCCCTTTTTTAATGAATAAAACCCCATAACTCAGAAATGTAAAATGTAAAATTTATAAAATTCTAAAAGGAGCTTACCTCAATAGATATAAACAATTCACCAAAGTTTCATAAGAACTGCTGAAAGCAATTTTGATTTTTTGTCTGAAAACTGGAAAATCCCCCTTTTTTATGAATAAAACCCTGCAACTCGAAAACGTAAAATCTAAAATATATAAAAATCGAAAGGGAGCTCATGTCAATAGTTATAAACAATTCAACACAATTTCTTGCAAGTTGGTGAAAGCATTCTTGAGTTATTGTCTGAAAACTGGAAAATCCCCCTTTTTTTAATAAATAAAACCCCATAACTCGGAAACGTAAAATCTAAAATTTATAAAAAACGAAAGGGAGCTCACGTCAATAGATATAAACAATTCACCAAAGTTTTATGCAAATTGGTTAAAGCGTTTTTGAGTTAATGTCCGACATGTTGATGACGGACGGACAGACGGACGGACAGACAGACGGACGGACGGACAGACGGACAGAGGTATACCATAATACGTCCTGTAAACGGGCGTATAAAAACACTTAGGAATACACTGTCTGGAAAACTTACTTGCAGCAAAGATAACTTACTTGCAGCATTTATAAGATGTTTGAACACAGTCAGCATTCCAATTTTCATCTTCTCATTTCCACTCTCCAGCTTTGATAATAAAATTCCAGTCAATTTACCAGAAAATGACCTAGCTGTAAAATATAATAATACATAATCATGATACATATTAATCAGAAATACTGTTAGATGATACAGTAACTGTTGTTTACAAAAGTATATGTCAAATTAAAAACATTAAATATTGGTGAGGATACAACTCTTTTTTTCTAGATACCATTTGTTCTCTATTAACCAAATTAGCTAAACTGAAATTGACCACTGATTTTAAAATAATTTCACAAGATAAGCTGACATGTGCCTTTCTGTCATAAGCTATCTCCCATAGAAAAGGTAAGAAAAAAGTTATATTTTTATTGTGTATAAAAACTTGACTTTATATGTTTGATTTAAATCTATCTGATTTCCAATTCTTGATTAGAAAACAACATATTTATCTGATTTCCATTTTTTTTAATAAAAAAATAACAATTTTCTAAAGATAAAAATAAAACAGTTTAGGAACCCTTCAAAGATGTAAGATTAAAAACAGCTGCACATGTAAAAGTTTCACTCAACTAATGGATAAAAGCAATCATTCACATATAAACTTACCTATAATGGCCAAACATCTGAGAACTTCATTATGATTTTTTATGCTTTGAGGATTTTTGTAGTCTGGTGGATTAATTATCTGTAAACAAAAATTGTGTTCATTTACATTCAATTCTTTATCATTCTATGTTAACTCAGTATACACAAATCTGTAGGACAGAATAGCAGGTTAAATGGCAAATATCGTTAAAATCTTACGTCTGTTTTACATTTTAAATTTAAAAGCAGATTGTCTCCCCTGAATCTTTATCTTTCAACTTGTAACCATTTTACCATAATCAAGACCAGAACATGTCACTGTGATTTGAGTAAGGAATCCTATTTTACACTGATATGCTGAGGCAGATAATTAATCTTTCAGCTCACAAGATGCAGGAAAACATGGCACTATACATGGACACATATGTCAGGCTCTGATCCAACCTCTCTTTGTTCTTAATTCTAAAGGAGAAGAACCAGATACCTGAGGTCTTTGGTTTGACCTTGTTTGAAACTGAACTCAGGAACTCCCTCATTCAAAGACCAGATAGAGAGTTTCTGTTTTATGGAAATTGTTAGTAAAGATGCACTGACTGCAATTTAGATTCAGTACTCAAAGTCAGACTTCACACAAAAGAATAGTCACTAATGTTTAATAATTTATTATAAGACTAGGAAGCTGTTATGGTCTTTAACTGTTCAGTGAACTTTGTTCATAAGTATAAAGTATAAAGTGCAAAAGACTTTGTTATAGTTTTGATTAATCTTATTAATCTGTATGTATGAACATGATGAAAACCAAGCACACATAGGTAAATTTGGAAAGAAAAAGGTATCATTTCCTTTTCACTGCTATGACATAAAACTACATGAATCTACATTAAATATAACCAAGTTTTATTTCATACTTGTGGAAAAAGAAATCCTAAAACTGTATCAAGGTTTGGTTCTAACACTGTATTTCCTTCTATACAAACTGCATCTAATACGCTACATAATCCCTAAAATTAAAAAAACAATATCTTTAAATGCATTAGACCTGACAAACTACAAAAAAAATACATCTTTAGAAATGAAAACAAGAACTGAAACATTAAATATAAGGGCCATAAATAATTTCACCTTAATTTTACCAGATTAAAATGAATGCACTTCCATATTATTCATTATATTGAAAAGATTTTTAACTATTATTTCCCCTTACAAATTTGTTTATCATTGCCATTTTTCTTTGTTACAAACAAACTGATCCAAAATACTCAAAACATGCTTAAAATAATTTTACCTGTTAGAATTTATCATACCTTGTAATAATCTCAACCTGCAATTAATCTGAAATTGTTATTGTATGGGGTTTCTTTCCTTTATACAGTAACTATCAAGTACAATACAAGATGAACTGTGAGCTATTGCTCACTTGATTTGTAGTTCCTGAGAGAAATCCGACAAATATTTTATGGGATGGACGGACAGACAGATAGACAGATGTAAAGCAGAAAACCCTCCTCCTTCAGAGTGGGTGTATAATAAATTTTGATATGCCTACCTGGGTAACATGAATTGGTTCTGGATGCTTTTTGTACAATCCTAAAATAACCTGAAGAATTTTTGGTAATTGTTCCTCCAGCTTATCTCTGGCCATTAAATGACACATATTACCAATAGCTTCAACAATAGCTACTCTCAACTGTAAAATAATAGACAAGTATATTATAGAATTTAAATTGTATACAAGAAATAAAGTGAAACTGTTTAGTTCTATACAAGTAGAAAGACCAATAAAGGAAATCATAAATGAACATATAAAAAAGAAATGGAGAATGTGTCCATGGGACACAGATGATGCCCCCGTTTGCATATAACATTATAAAGGGACATAACTAGAGAACTGTAAAAGTGATGCCACCCAAAATCAAACTAGATCTGTGTTTTGTGGTAATAAGCATTGCGTATAAGTTTCATCACATTTGGTTGATGCAAACTTAAGTTAGAGAATGGAAACCAATTTCGGGACATACGTACAGACGGACAAGGGTAAACCTTAATACCCCCATCGCCACGGAGGGGACATAAAAAATATGTTGGATAAGTAGGACCTTGCTTACAGTTGTATTTAAAATGCATTAACCAAACCTTTAATTTGATTTATGGATAATTAATTGGTTCCTGGCTTCTTATATTCACTATTTCAATCTAAAACCAGATGCAATTTATGTATTTTATTGAATACTAAAATTTCATGTTATCAGATAACCTGAAAATCTCAACAGACAAGAGAGTTTTCACAGTATATAATGTGTCACCAGAGGAAAATGAAATGCTTGAATTCCCAAATATCACATCCATTTAAATTGGGCACTACCTTTATACACATTATCACTCTTTGTCCACCATTACTGGACATCACAAACAATTTTTTTTATTGTTGTACTACATCAATAGCTCATGTGTCAAGAGTGGCAGATTCCAAAATAGCGATAAGGTCTATAAATTTATTCTTCTAACGGTTTTTTGTTAGATTTCTTTTATTTTGTTTCCTACCTCTCATGATAATTTTTGCATACAAGTTTTTGGCATGTTCTGATTTTCTTCTCTTTTTTTTTTGTACATTAAAATGAAAGAAATAGGGGTAGATGAATGTGAGATCATATATCTAAAACGATCAAGAAAAAAAAACATGTAAGGAGCCTGTAATTCAGTGGTCGCCGTTGCTTGCTATCAAAAAATTTGGTTTTTTTTCATTGTTTTGTACATAAATCAGGCCATTAGTTATTCTATTTGAATGGCAATCATACCACACCTTTATTTTTGTATACAAATAAAAACAAGATGGTATTTCAATTTCCCCTGATTACCAGGATGCTAAATGAAATATCTGGGGAGAACACTGCAAAGTACTTCTTTATGTGCTTCATTTTCAAAGATATCTGTTAACACTTTTTACCATGTTTACCTACCTTCATTTCTTTAGTTATATGTAGCCAGGAATTGAACAAAACATCAAATGCTGATCCTATTTCCTGTTCAAATCTTTCTTTTGATACTGAGGGATCTGGGGCCTTGTCAGTATTAGCACAGTAGTCTATGATTGCCTCACTAAACTTTGATATTGCTGGAAGAAAAGATAATTAGAAAGTGAAGCATAATAGTCTATAATACATTCAAATAAGTTCTAATGTTGATTTATGGAAAAATATCATCCTTAACTGACAGATTATGTCTTTGTAAGCATTGCTGATCTGCTTCTTCATATTATCAGTAAGTGAGATATTAAACAAAAAATGGTTTTATCCTAAAAGTAATAAAAATTCAAATACAATGTATAGATAATATATATGTATGTTTATGTATACAAAATGGTTGATTAGATGGATTGGTGTTTAACTTGTATTGGCAAATAGTGCGTGCATATCAGGACAAGAACATGTGATATGATTATGAAACCTCCTTTGTACTGGCAAGATTTTTCTACATGCTAGTTCACATGGTAAGAAGACATGTCACCATACTGAGACTTATTGTGTCAAAGTGGACCAGTCTTTGTTCTTACTCAGTACATGCCATATGTTTGGTAGAGAAGTAGCAAATACAAATTGTTAATTATTTTGTTCGACCCCGACCAGGAATCAAACTATGACATACCTAAATCAAAGCCTGCACATGGCCATGAGATACCTAAATCAAAGCCTGCACACTGCCATGAGATACCTAAATCAAAGCCTGCACACTGCCATGAGATACCTAAATCAAAGCCTGCACACGGCCATGAGATACCTTAATCAAAGCCTGCACACGGCCATGAGATACCTAAATCAAAGCCTGCACACGGCCATGAGATACCTAAATCAAAGCCTGCAGACTGCCATGAGATACCTAAATCAAAGCCTGCACACGGCCATGAGATACCTGAAGTCGTTGAATTGAAGTTCGAGAATAACATTCATTAAACTAGTTCATAATAAATTAACTAGATGCATAAACAAGATAGATAAAATGGAGGTTTCAAATCTGTATAATTAGTTAATAATTAAACCATATTAGCTGTCTGTAATAAATAATCTGAAATACGTTCTGGTATGAAAAACTGGTTAGACAGCTTCTGAAAGAAATACTTTTTTGAAGGACATAAAATTTTTATTCAGCTTATTTCTGTCCCCTTGGTATACAAAACTTTAACTAAGAAATTCATTACCTGATGAAAATACCCATCTCATATTTTCATGTTTGGCCATCCCTAACATGGGTAACATTGTTCCTAACACAGCAGTCAAATGTGGAACCATTCCATACACTGAATTACAAATAGAATTCATTAAAATTTCTAATATGCTGTATCATTAGTTTTTTTTTAAAAATCTCTTTTTCCTTCAAAATCATTGAGAATTACCAAAGGATATTTTATACATTCCCCGACTAGCATTCTGTTCATTAATTTGTGTTATAGATGTCTCATCTCCTTAAAAACAACAGAACAGATCTCATCCAAACTGGCATCACTTTTTCTCTGTGCAGTGTATGTTATTGCTGCATTTATGGTTTCATAAGTTTAGATTTAAACAAGAATGTGTCCATAGTACACGGATGTGGGTTTCATAAGTTTAGATTTAAATAAAAATGGTGTTCTGACTGCACAAATTTTACAAGGCTTGGGCAATGAAAAAATTAATAAGCCAAAAATTATATAGAAATATACATACAGAACTTAAAACACACTCTAATTTCTCGAAATATAATTTTTTTCACCAATATAAAAAAAAATATGTGTGAATACCCAATCCCTCTTATTTCATTTGCACATCAACAAATTAAATATCATTATTTTGATATACAAATAGGACAATTACTTATATACTGTTAACCAACTTATTATCACGGATACTTTATTTTGCGTTTAGTACTTCTCAATCGACTTAGCGAAGGTTTATTTTCATGATTTTCTAATTTTCGTCATCTATTTATATAACAGAAGACAAACATTGTAAGGTGTAATACCACCATTGATTTCCCCTATTAGTCTTTGTTAAATTTGCACTTTTCAAAAAATTGTGCAGAATTTATCTTTGTTTCGAATAAAGAAATACTTGGCATGAGTAAAGTTTTATTCTGTCCAGTACTATAGACAAAATTTCACATAACATTTCATTGCATATAAGAAACTAACCATCACTGGAAGTTAACCAATCAAACTTTCACCCCGTTTTTTCCTGTGTACAAGCTTTAGTAACCATGTAACCACAAGTTTCCAAAATATTCTATAGAAACACCAAATAAAATAAATAGGGTGCTTTGCAACACCCAAGATCTATGTTTATGACTCAGAAATTTTTTACTGCAATGAAATGTAGGATTAATTTCCTACACCTTTCAAATTCAAGGGAATATTTTTTTTCTACCCTTTTTCGTATGCAACCGGATGCGAGGTACTATGATTTGGTGGTATTACACCTTTAAGTATTGCGACGATTATTACTTGTGTTATTTTCCTGCTAGGGAAAGTCACTAAAGTAAATCACTCCCAAAAATTAGTTGGTTCACAGTATAACATTTGATTTACACATGTGTATTATGATTATAACCTACCATTAGATGTGGCTAAGTTTCCTATGGTTTGAATCACAAAGAAATGAGGTAAAATTCCGGGCTGAAATCTTTGTAACATTTCATCCATAACTTCATCACAAAATCTGGCTCCCAAGGAAACGAGGACACCACTTGCAGCTGTCTGCCATTCTGGCATTACTTCCTATTATCAAAATGGAAAACAACATTCCAATAGCAAGTTTTCTCCTCTTCCCCTTCATTTCACAATGTTTAACATGTTTTGATATATTCTATTGCATATTTTTATGAAATAAGTTAGCGCTTACAACACAGATAAGTTGATGAATTACCTTTCAAAAATTCTCATAAAATTGTTAGGGTCCAAAATAACAATCTGTTTTGGAACCAAAAACACATACCATTTTGGGGCCTAAGTGCATTGTTCTTTTGATAAATGGTAATTTTTCAGCCATTTACAAGATCATTATCTCATGAACCTCCACTCTCCCCCCTTTTTGCCCTAATGATATTTACCTTTGAAACAGTCAGTTCCATAGCAGCTTGTTTAATGACATCTACAGCTAATGGTGGATCCAGCTCGCTCAGTGTCTCCTTTATTATCCTTTCCATACATTGTAACAACACAACTCTGTGGCCAGTTTGAAGCTAAAAGAGTTTTTTTTTTTAATTTTTCAGTGTCTGATATTATTTCATATAACAAGATTTATATGTGTCAAGATTTAGATCAATGTAAACAAGAAAGTGTCCATAGTACACGTATGCTCCACACGCACTATCATTTTCTATGTTCAGTGGACCGTGAAATTGGGGTCAAAACTCTACTTTGGCATTAAAATTAGAAAGATCATATCATAGGGAACATGTGTACTAAGTTTCAAGTTGATTGGACTCCAACTTCATCAAAAACTACCTTGACCAAAAACTTTAACCTGAAGCAGGACAGATGGACGGACGGACAGACGAAAAAACGGACGCTCAGACCAGAAAACATAATGCCCCTACTACTATCATAGTTGGGACATAAAAATATTTTAGAAATGTGCTTCAAAATTACATTTTTTCATGACTTTTAATGGCGTATCAATAACTGATTGATTAATTGATTGTTTCTTGGTTAATGTCAGGTGGCAATTCTTTCATGAAAATGCAAGTCCCTATTCAAACCAGAAGTGGCAGCAAATTTATACCTCCCACACAGCTAAACAGATGCCCCACTTTCATGACTTTAGCAAGGAATCATGCCAGAACAGGAGAAGTGAAGAGTTGGCCATATTTCTATACCCTAGTCAACCATTGGGGTTGTGAATTAAAGTTTTGTATTTAGGCTATTGAGAAAAGCAACCATAACATCACAGTCTGCACCAAAGTCTTTTCCAACATCTAGTCCGAAGACAAATATTCCAACATTTTTCTTATGTGGCTGAACAAAGTTTTGCAAAAACTTACTAGTCCGAATAAAATTTTACTAGTCTGGGGCATCGGACTAGTGGATAACGGTGCAGACTGACATCATTATATAGCAAAAAAGACAACATCATAGTTGTTTTTTCAATGGTTTAAAAACTACAACCCAGTTTTAACAAATTCAAATAGAAATTTCTTTTAGCCTTAGAGAAAACTTACTTTGTTGTGTTTCTTTAAGTAAGAATATGAAGAGCTTAAGACAAGTGCTGGCCTCTTCTTTCCCAGGTCAAACAAAGCATCACAGATCTGGTCCCGGCAGTCTGATTCCCTGTCATAAGCAGCATCAATCATGGCCATGGCCAAGTCTTAAACAGATCAAATAAATCAAGTAAAAGCATGGTGATTCAATTTAAAATAAAGTGCATCTTTGCTAAGGCGATTACATTTATTACTGTTATAGATTAGCAATAATATTTTACATCTTTTAATGTATGGTTTAATATATTCATAGTATGTCCACTGAGGTGAAACTGAACTGAATTTGAGCATTTTTTGTAAATGTATGCTACATGTATGTCCAAGGAATTTTATACCAAAATTTACCAAATGACAAGCTATAACAAGAATGTGTCCATAGTACATGGATGCCCCACTTGCACTATCATTTTCTATGATCAGTGGACCGTGAAATTGGGGTAAAAAGTCTAATTTGTCATTAGAATTAGAAAGATCATATCATAGGTAACATGTGTACTAAGTTTCAAGTTGATTGGACTTCAACTTCATCAAAAACTACCTTGACCAAAAACTTTAACCTGAAGTGGGACAGACGGACGGCTGAACGAATGAACGAACGGATGGACAAAAACGTATGCAGACTGAAAAACATAATGCCCCTAGGTGGGGCATAAAAAGATGCAATCAATTTAATTCAACAAATTCAATACACAGTTAAATCTTCAAAATTAATAAGACAGCATGCCATCACACCTCCAATAAATAGTCTCCTGAAAGTACTCTTACTACTAGTGTGGCTAATGATGACAGTACAACAATATGTTAGTGTACTGTTCAGTGGCATCTGTCAAACTGTCATTGATAAGGAAAGCTATTCTGCAACCTAGAAAAATATATCCTACATATGTACTACATGTTTGTGCCTTTGTTGTAAATGGTGAATCATGTTTCCATGTGTCTGTTTTGTGTTATCGTTATGTTTTGAACTGCTATGTTTATGTCTCACAGAGTCTGCAAAAAATTTATAAATAGCCCAAAAAAAGTATTTTTTATTATTTTTGTATTTTTTAGCATAATGTTGATATTCAACTTTGACCTGAACCTTGGTTAAACTCTTTTCATTTACAGTGGTTCCAAAATAACCATCTACACAACTAGCTACTAAAACAAACATTTCTAGTAAATAATGTATAACAAGCTTTAACATTTAACAGTCTGTCCCTTTTGCAGCTAATAAGTATACAGCTTTTCCTTTTTTTTGAAGTGATAAGATCTAACAATAAGATTTATATAAATCTGCTGGTGTGTGAAACATACAACCCTTGTATACTGGGTAGCAAACAGCTGCTCAAACAGTACTTCCCTGTTGTAGCTAATACTTAAACCTTTATTTATCTATTTTTTTGGGTAATAAGATGGGATGATAAGATTTATCATGTTCAAGTTAATGTGTTTTTAAAGCAGGGCTTGAAAAAGTTTGAAGGAACTTGGAAGGACTTATAACTTGATAGAATATCCCTCTGTTGTTTGTAAGAATAGTATATCCAGCAAGTAACAAGGCTTGATAAGGGATTCTGAGGCGGCCAATCAGATAATCACTCCCAACTCAGAATCCCAAAAGGGATTAACCAAATGTATGCCCACCAAATCTATTCAAACTATCTTTTCTTTGTATAACGCATATGTTACTACCAGTCCAAATTGAGCTTGAATTCAGTGATATAGTGTTTTGACAAAAGCTTTTTGTGTTTTTCTATGCTAGAAATAGATCATAGAAGGAAATTAAGTAAAGCAGAAGTCAATATAACAAGTTTGGTGCTGTTCAAGATCTAATAAATCTAATGTAATAATAAAGCAATATAAACGTAGACAAAAATATTATTGTTATGTCCATGATTAATCAGTTCTTAACCCAACCCAACCTTGCATTCTGCCAATAAATCTTAAAGATAACAATAATATTTGGTTATTTTACATCTTACAGATAATTTATATCTGATAATGAGTAACTTTCAGACACTAAATAAATACTGTGCTACTTTCAATCCATCATTCTGCTTCTGATCATGGTCCATGAAGGACCGAATTGTTCAGATTATATATCATCACCAGGCGCTGTTAATAATGTGTTTTGGTATTGCTTACTTTTTATTTGTCATCACTCTTTGTGGTATTATTGCCAATAGGAAAACTATCCACCAGAGTTTAAGCTTGTAATTATCTGTGAGTAAAAGGATTTGGGTAATAGATATTTGGTTAAAAACTTTTCATTTTTTTGCAACCAGATGAACATCAACTGAAGGCATTTCACATCTGGTTTTGAGGTTGAGAGTTAGCTGTGTCCACAAATTGTCAAAAATATCATAACGACCCAAGAGCGACAGTTCTGCAGCTAGTAAAAAATATCATAAGGACCTTAGAGCTACAGTTCGGCAGCTAGCAAAAAAAATATCATAAGGACCAATATGGAGAGCTATGGTTCCGCGAAGAGCTACCTGCGAAACCGTAGAACATAGATCCTTATGATATTTTTTGACAGTTTGGGGACCATAGATGAACATCAACTGAAGGCATTTCACATCTGGTTTTGAGGTTGAGAGTTCGCTGCGGTCCGCAAATTGTCAAAAAATATCATAAGGACCTATGAGCTAGCTCGAAGGGTAACTGGAAATCCCTTTCTTTGCTAATTTCAAAGGGAATACTGTACCATCAACTTGGCCACCCGTGTTCCGAACTGCATCATCGTCTACTCCAGGCATTATCATGAAATGACATTCGCTATAAAACAGAAAAAACTCCCCTCAAATAATCATGTAAACTTTCAACATCATGTGACTGTGTTTTTACAGAAAAATACTTCCGGTTACTGCTTTTTTCTAATTTACAAATCAAATACCGACTAGACTCAATATATACCCATATTTTAAGAGTTCTTTCCCCTGTGCCTTCCAAAAATTTATTATTTTTATACTACGAGCGATTTACTGGAAACGGATTTAACAGCATATTCCATTGTGGCGGACAAATAGCGATAAAGGTGTATTCAATTTTCAACCATTTAAAAAAAAACAAAAAATGCATATTGCTTCTGATTGTTGCCGGCTTTTTGTGTTTTTTTTTTCATTTTCAAGAATCCCCACATTAGGGAGCTACCATTTGATTTTTAGGGGGGGGGGGGGGGGGGGGGGTTAGGATGAAAAATCTTGTCCTGCATTTTTTTTAGTTGTAATCTCTGTCCTGCCTTTTTGTTTTTCACTCTATTCGGACCTGCCTTTTTTTTCATTAGTATATCCTGATTTTTTTTTAGATTCTACATAAATTGTCATCCTGCCTTTTTTTTTGCCAAGTTGCTCATCCTGCCTTTTTTTAACACAAAATTCCTGTCCTGCCTTTTTTCAAATTCCATCCTAGCCCCATCCACCCCCAATCCCCCCCCCCCCCCCCCCCCCCCCTAAAAATCAAATGGTAGCTTAGTTTTGAATTCAAGTTGGTACATGCATGGTGTGTATTTTGATATTTCAATACGATATACTGTTGACAGTGGTTGATCAATGTATCAACGCAGTCTATCAACTGTATCTTCATTTTATGAACGGAGCACGATCGTATCAGTAACTGACGACAAGGAAAACAACTGACAACTGAACTTAATACTGTCAACAACTAAGCTTTTCACTTGGTAAGAATTCTACAACGTCTACCACTAAGGGAATTATATTGTTTATGTAACAATCCCATGATCCATGAAATACTTTTAAAGTAAATAAATCATCTAACGTTATACTTGTTTATATCAAATATCGAACTTGGAAACGACGGGAGTATGAGTCACAAGGATCAGTGTTTACTGAACAGATATATCATGTTATGGAGGGTTTTTTTGCGAAAAATACCAGTCAAGGGACTGTAAAATTTCCCGAGCTGCTAGGCGAGGGAAATTCGGTCCCAAGACTGGTATTTTTCGCAAATACACCTCCATAACATGATATATCTGTTTAATTACACCGAATAGATTTGGATTGAAACTAATTCGTTAACATGTTTATGCATAATTTTGAGAATAAGAGGATATTATCATAGAATCGCGGGAATTACACATCTACAATTACGCGTTAGCTCGCTTTTTAATGTAACGTTATACATCCGAAAAATTTTGGCGGGAAAATGCTCGAGAGGGTAAAAAAGGAATATCCAAAATGGCAAATAATATGGTATTTGAGGCAAATTCACCGGCAGTGGTGAAAAACAGGCAAATTCGTTTGAAACGAGGAAAAAATATTAGAATATGCGAAAATACACTGTCTATCAACCAATCAAAATCTGGCTTTCTTATATAAGGTGTAATTACACAAAATATACTCCCGTTACACAATTGTGCCACGGTTAATAATAAACAACTCAGTCTTCATTCTATGAACGGAGCACGATCGTATTCAATCGATACAATTGTACCACGGTTGATCAATATAATCAATTCAGTCAACTGTATCTTCATATTATGAACGGAAAACGATCGTATCGATTGATTGTGCCACAGTTGATCAGTCTAATCAACACAGTCAGCTGTACCTTTATATTATGAACGGAGCACGATCGTATTCTTCAATCGATACTATTGTGCCAAAGTTGATCAATATAATCAACCAAGTCAACTGTATCTTCATATAATGAAAGGAGCACGACCTTATCGATCGCATTCAATTGATACGAATCGTTTGTGCCACGGTTGATCAATATAATCAACTCAGTCAACTGTATCTTCGTTTTTCTAAACGTTTGTAGATATTGCATTGGTTTTTGGTATGTGAGTGTACCTTAGTAGGTTAAAGATCAAGCTGGAGTTCATGTTGACTGGAAATAGAATAAAAATGCCAAGGTAATAGTATTCCTTTTTTTTTTTTTTTTCGGTGTGTGAGTGTAGCTTGATAAGTTACAGATCAAGTTTGAGTTTCATGTTGATTGGATTATTTTTTGGTAAGTTATGCCCCTTGGAAATAGCAAAATTGCTTAAATATAAGTTTTCCGGATTTTGTATGCCCCCGCCGTAGGCAAAGCGGGCATCAATTGTTACCCTTGACCGTACGTCCGTCTTTTCGTCCGTCCGTCCTTCCCATTTTTGTTTCCGCACTCTTACTTAAGTTTTCCTCATCCAAATTATATGAAACTCATACACAATGCTAAGAACCAAAACTTGCAGACAGAGTTCGAATTCGGGCAATGAGGCATTTGCCGTTTTAGAGTTATTTGCCCCTTTTTAACTTGGAAAATTGCAAATTTTTCAGTTTCCGAACTCTAACTTAAGTTTGTCTTATCCAAATTTTATGAAACTCATAAATAATGCTAAGAACATGAAGACAGAGTTCGAATTTTGGCAGTGAGTCACTTACCGTTCTAGAGTAATGCCCCTTGTCAACTTGAAAAATTGCAAAGCTTGAGCGGGGCATTCGTGTCCTCAGACACAGTATTCTTTTATTTTGTAAAGGCTTGCAGATATTAAATTGTTTTTTTGCTATTTGAGTGTACCTTAATGGGTTTCAAATCAAGTTTGAGTTTCATGTTGATTGGATTATTTTATCTTGGGTTATGCCCTTGGTAAAGAGCAAAAATCTCCAGAATATCAGTTTTCAGGAAATTTTTTAGCAATTGCTTTCCAATATTTAAAAAAATTTTGGTATGTGAGTGAACAAATAAATTTTTAGTTTCGTGTTGATTGGATTAATTTGTTATTTGAACCCATGCTTCAGTGACATCTTGAAAACTCCTACTGCACTATATCCATCGTCGTGGACACTATGCTATATGTTGTGCTGTTACAACACTGTCCAAGGTTAGGGGAGGGTTGAGCTCTCACACACATGTTTAACCCCGCCACATTCTTTGTGTGCCTGTCCCAAGTCAGGAGCCTGTAGTTCAGTGGTTGTCGTTGGTTCGTATTTGTCCTTTGTTTTTTTGTTAATTGTTTTGTTATAAATTAGGCCGTTAGTTTTCTGAATTGAATTGTTTCATATTTTTCATGTCGGGGCCTTTTATAGACGACTATACGGTATGGGTTTTTTTCTTGTTGTTGTACGGTTGCCTATAATTGCTTACATCCACTTTATTTGAACTTTGGTGGATAGTTGTCTCATTGACAATCGTACCTCATCTGCTTAATTATATATATAAAATATAGTTGTCCTTAGTCGAGTGATGCATTTCCTCGTCGGCGTTGCCGACAGTTGTAACACAGTAAACGATATTTGGTGGGACGCAGATGGAATACTTTGCAGATCAGCTGTTTTGTCAGTCGAAAAGGATAATACTACTTACCAAGCAGTCCATCAATGGGTTTTTATTTTATATCTTCATAGTTTAAATATGGAACAACTCTACGACAGCCATTCTCCATTTGATAACCTAGGGTAATATAGGGCTAATATCTCAAATAACACATTTTTCGTCTGAAACTTTGCTCAATTATGTAATATCAGCAAATTAAGGGTAGCAATTTGTCAAAAACACCAAATTATATGAAGGACGTAAAAACATTAAGATATATACAACTCACCATTCGAACAAGAAGGGGAACAGCAAAAGGTACATTAAAAAACTTGCAATAAAAATAAGTTCAGTAAAAATTGAAAACAATATACTTTATATATTTCATGCTTCCGAAGCGCTTTTCTGGATTTACCTTCACAAGAAAGCTTACCGCTGAATATTTGAAAGCCAAGGATGTATACGAACCGAAACAGTTGAAGAGCTATATGACCAAAAAGGACATAACATATTAGCCAAATTCATCTATGGTCAACTTTGCCTGAGAGAGTTGAAACCTGAGTTTCTTAATAATTTATAAATTTATAAACGGACAATTTAAGAAAGTTTGTCATAAATCATGTCAATACTGAAGTGCTAACTACTGAGCTGATGACACCCTCCAGCGGCGGATCCAGGGGGGGGGGGGGGGGGGGGGGGGAGGGGGTTGGAACCCCCCTTTTTTTGACGATCAATGCTTTTGAATGGGGACATATGTGTTTCACGACCTTGAGGTTTAACAACAGGAACAATGTTAACAATCAACTGCAATGGCTTTCATTATAATTGCCGTCTGACCAATTATTTTTTTATAAAGGTGTTTACAGTTTTTCATGGTTGTTCGCTTGATACTAACAACAGTTCGTTACAGTGTCACGTTTGAATTTTTGTTCTTATTTAAGAGGAGGTTTTGGGATTTTTTGGGAAAAGCTGTTCATGCTCAAACCCGAATAATTCAGTTGTTATATTCCACTGCTCTACGATGGCTACATTAACCGAATAATTCAGTTGTTATATTCCACTGCTCTACGATGGCTACATTAACCTTGCGCGAGTTAGAATAGTTGTTGCTGCTTCCTATCTCATTACCCTACACTCGATATCGTTCAATTTTGAGACAGATGTAAAGTCTATGCTCTAGCAGGAGCCATCGAACAGGGAGGGGAGGCACGGGAACCTTAATTATTCGGGTTATTCATGCTCTAATAATAAAAATAAAACAAAATGTAAAGTTTTGGCAGAAGAGGAAACTTTACATTTCTTTTCAGTCGCAAACGGTGGTATGGTGTGGTCGCAATCTGATTCAGTAATATGGCAAATCACGGGTTCACCGGCTACGACTACCAACCTTGAAAGCGAAGCTTGGACACAAAATGTTTATTTCACTCAGATTGGGCGTGTCGTCTCTGTTGCTGCAGACACATTTTTTTTCACAAATTACATTATCGATCCTTACCTGGAATTTTAACACAATTTTCTTTGGCACAAAAACGATGCTGGATTTACTGATCATGGCATTAATTGTTGCACCAAACTAAACAAGAAGGCCCAAAACGGTGTTTCCACTGAATTTGGTGTACAGCAGTTATTTTAATTAGATTCTGACGCATTTCTGTCAATTTATATAAATTATATCATAATGTATCACCCTAGCAGTGTTTCGATACTGGCATGATTTAATAATACATTCTTTTAGACAATTGTCCGAGTGTATAAAATATTTGATATTATTTAAAAAAAAAAATGTAAGATCAACTCCTTGAAGTAAGTTGATCTTAAACGATGTTGGACCCTCTTCCGAGATAACCTGTCTCAGTGATAAATGAGGTACTGCTATATACTACTATGACGGTCCATTCATCTATTTACCAACCAATCCATTATACATCAACTGTAACTATGCTATAAAATCAGCTGCAATAATAATGTCATTTTATCATCCTTAAATCTGAATTTACCTCAAGAGTTGATGTTCAAGAACCACTAAGCAGTAATAAGTGACACTAACATGTATTCAATATGTAGATACTGTAACAATAAGATCAATAACTACTTAAAATAAATTATACGAAAACTATATTTGTACCTATCGTCTCGCCTCAATAGTGACTTGACCTGCTTACTAGAAGCGTCCTGACGTAAATATTTATTAATTTTTTCACACTCCGGCAATTTCAAACATTTAAATAAACAGATATTTCGCAATATTCATATGATTGGCTTATTCATTTGGTTACCGTAATTAATACCCTGTTGAAAAGCATTCAACTGTGACATTCAAACGTTCATTCTTCCTTTTTGAACCGACAAGTGTTGGAGACGGGACATTAAATAGCTTTGAAAAGGTAAGAATCGGCGTTTTCTTCAAAATACAAATAATTGTTGAAATAATCATCTATTGTGACTTATAATATTAAGTATGACTTAGTTTATCCTGTAGAAACAGGTTCAATTACTTTTAGACCTGTTTAGACACCCGAGAGTTAAATGCATGGACACGGACAAATCATGAATGGCGATAATGTTCAAATACGGAATACTTTTTGCTCTTTACCACATTTTAATTCCCCTGATATCCTAAACGGGTTATTACAAACACCATGTTTGGGTGAATAATCAGTTCATATGAAGCGTAAGAAATGAAAATATAAAAATAAGGAGATGTGGTATAAACAGATTGGGGACAATCACCCAAATCGGTTGTTATAAGCCATAAAAAAAATTCAGTGTTAAAGATCTTGATTTTTTTTACCGGCAAAAATATGGACAAATCCTTTATTTTGTTTGTTTCTAAAGTAGCAATTTTTGGTCAGTGACTTTTCCAGAATATGAATAAGTTGGTAGATTGATTCAGGTTACCGTCCGGCCATCAACAAGGAGCAAAATCCATATGAATTTTAGTAATGGTACAATCATAGATATTTCTAACACATTTTTCCGTGATCTCATTGGCACCTACTTTTATCAGACTGGTCATATGATAAGATACAGAAAATTGTAAGCCTGAAGACAAGATTTAATTTTGTAGGGTGGACTGCTTTTTCTTGACCTTTGAAGGTAAACATAAGTGTAATTGTCAAAGGCTCCACCCTTTTTCATTCGACGCTTGGTTTCAGATGGTGCACCTGATGTGAAAATAGCAATTCCAGAAATAAAATACTGTATACTAATTTTCAACATTCTGCTTTGGAACTAAGAATATGGAAATATGTATACAAGACTCAATAAAAAAAGGGAACAGTAGAATAAATATTTTCTTGATACGGTTCTATTGTCATCTTTTTTCGTATTCAATTCACATAACAACTCTCCTGATTTCACAATGGTGCAATGACTTTGTATTTGTTTAATATAAAATGTAGTCTTGTTTGATAGTTTGAATACTGGGTAGCTCTGGTATGAAATCGGTTATTGACGAAATAAAAAAAAAATTTTTTTTGGACCGACGTCCATAAAACCTAAATTAAACCAACTCTTTGAAAACATGTTTTTGTTTAAATAATCCTGACGTCGAGACTAGAAATCTTACTTTTCGACGTTTTTAGATATTAGAGTGACACTTGAATGATTTATACAGCAAAAACGAATTCGGTGACTCGAGAACTTTCATATCAATAAAACAGAAATTTTAGTGGCAATAACATATCAATGCTTCTTTCTACGGAATATTATCGCTATATATCCGAGAGTATAAAAGTTACTTATTTATTTTTTCAATATCCATATGCAGTTCCGTGCACAATCATGCTCTAATTGCTTGCAAAATTTAAAAAAAAAGTCGTGAAATTTCCCATTAACGTATCCGTTAAGTCTAATTAAGTCAATTATAACATGTAATTGTTTTGTTTCACATTTCCATGAATATATAGTTAAATATTCACTCAATCTGATTAAAATACTGCACGGACACATGATCTACGTAGATTTGAATCATTGATATTCACTTCTTATACACCGGTCTGCGTGTTGCATACGAATTTATCAACTCACCCGTCTAACAATATATAGTCACACTTGATTGCTCAGGAAAAAAACGAACCGACAAGTATCTATTTTGATTTATATGCAGTTTGTTAAATTCCTGTTCTAAGGAAACACATCTTTCTATTTTAAGGTATGTTTTTGTCGTTATTATTTGAGCTGAATTATATATACACACGTTAATTACTAATGTAGTAGATTCGTTGTGGGACGAAAATAACCCCAAAGATAAATGTCAGTAGATCCAGCGCTGTAATATTTATGTTATGGTGGTAAAAACATGTTCATCGCTGCTTTTAATACTGAACTTCAGATAAGTAGTTGATATTTACGGAAATATATAATGCTGGTCACAAACGCAAGAGAAAACTCTGCTATCCAAGTTGACTTGTTATTTTGTATATTCTTTAATTGATTTGTTAAACGTCGTCTTTTGATACTAAAAGCAAAATGTGTTACTTGCCAAACCTGGTTCATTTTACAAATCGTTTGTTCTTGATTGAATTCTTTATTTTTGTTAGCACTTCGAGAAAACTTTTGTTACGACTTTAAATTAGTTAAACTATGTTTCGATAACGTTACACTGAAATTTATTTTGACTCCATTTATGTCTCGCCTTGACGGAGTCAAAAAGCGAGACATAGGTATGCTGTTTCCGGCGTCGGCGGCGTCAACAATGTATTAGTTTGTGATTAGGTCTAGTTTAAGGTGAACCACTAGTGGTTGGTCAATGATATTTGGTATGCAGTTGTATTAGCACTGGCACATCTCATTTCGGCATGGAGATTATTGACTATTGACTTTAAAACTTTTGCTTAGTTTACTTGTATTAGTTTGTGATTAGGTCAGTTCAAGGGGAACCACTAGTGGTAAGTCAATGATATTTGGTATGCAGTTGTATAAGCATTGGCGTATCTCATTTCCATTGAGAATATTTGGTCCCGCCCCCGCAGTCATGGTCTATTGACTTTGAAACATTTGCTTAGTTTACATGTATTAAGTTTGTGATTAGGTCAGTTCAAGGGAACCATTATTGGTATGCCAATGTTAATTGGTATGCAATTGTATAAGCATTAGCACATCTCATTTCCATGGAGAATATTTGGTCCCGCCCCCTCAGTCATGGTATATTGACTTTGAAACTTTTGCTTAGTTTACATATATTAGTTTGTGATTAGATCAGTTAAAGATGAACCGCTAATGTTAAGTCAGTGATATTTGGTATGCAATTTTATTTGCATTTGCAAGTCTCGTTTCCATGGAGATCATATAGCCCTACCCCCCCCCCCCCCCTCATCATGGTTCATTGACTTTTAAAGTCAATGTTTGTGTTTAGGTTTGGGAACGACTTACGATAAGTCTATGGTATTTGGTTATGCAGTTGTATTAGCATTGGCACATCACATTTCCATGGAGATTGTTTTGCCATGTACCTTCAGTCATGGTTCATTGACTTTGAATATTTGCATAACTTACATGTTAAAGTATTGCTATTTTAATTTCAACATTTGCATTACCAAAAGTACAAAAAGGCGAGACATATCTCTGTGTTAACAGTTTATTAGTATTGATTGTTGGCTATTTTTAAACATCTGTTTAATCATTATTTATTCATTTATTACAATGTTGAGAATTATGACAAACTCATGCTAACATGAGAATCTTACGTCTTTTTTAAGCCAAGCGTGTAATTCTTTGTACTCATATTATCACTTCTATAAGATATAAAAGTTGAAGTTGTGTGCGTGATAATTACATTTTACTTGTTTTTATACCCATCAAGCGTTTCTATATTGGTAGCATATATATATAATCATTCTGTAACTCGGTTATCAGATAGTTGCCAAAATTGCCCTTAATACCCTTATGTCGAGGTTTTATATTGAAGGAACGACAAGTGTGGACCAAAGTTTCTATCAAAATTTGCCCAAGTTCTCGTTTTTAGAGAAAACCAGTCGGAATAACTAAACGGTAACTTTTTACTTGTTAAAATATGTAGTTCGTTTTGTGTTTGTTTGTCTGGCAGTTTTTTTGTATGGTCCTTGTATTTTCTGTTCTTCTTTTCTTCTTTTGGTTATTCATTTGGACCTTTACTTTCACAGTATAAAAAAAGGAGATTTACTATAAATGACAACGAGACAAGTATTCAATAAAGCCTAAATGTCGTGAATTTAAGCACCTATAGGTCACCGTACGGCCTTCAACGATGAGAAACCCACACCGTAGTCAGCTTTAAAAAGCCCGACATGACAAAATGTGAAACAATTGAAAAACTACATGATATATCAACAGTAATTAGTTTGTACTTTCAAAATTTTGCCTTCATTGTAACTGGAAAGAACAGTGAAAGTCAAAATATGCAGTAAGTTTACACCCTTCACATGTGTTTGATTTCTGAATTACAAAGTGTTCTTCAGGTGAAACCTATATATACGAGATATAACAATAGCCAGGACTGTTTCTTAACCTAAAACATCGTTGAATGCGGTGTATATATGAATGAAAAAAGTATAACAAAAATACTTAACTTAAAGGCAAATTCATAAAAGGGGAAGTCCATAAAAAATGACAAAATCAAACGCGATCAAGCAAAAGAACCAAGAAGAAAAACAACTTTCATATTCCTGACTTGACACAGGCCTTTTCCGAAAGAAAATGGTAGGTTAAACCTGGTTGTCGAGCCTGTGTAAATAAACTAAAAGGTACCAATTCAACACTGTAATTAGATCTTTGAATATTGTTTTTATTGGTATGAAGATTTGTTTTGTTATCAGTAAATTAAAATCATACTAAATAGTTTTGTTATACACATATGCACTTTAACGGTATACTACAATCTGTGGATACCTGTAACTTGGCATTGCACAAGGTCATGTTTTTCTCTGACTGTTAATGGCGGTCTTTACACTAAATCCATTGGATGTTGGATGTGTACTGATTGATATTCTATAACTATAACCTGGAACAAAATGGCGTTAGATAAAATAACGTACACAGGTAAATTTAAATATAATAATTTTGTTGTTAGAAGTACGAAAATATTTTTTTCAAAATAAATAAATTTGTTGTTCATAGTACGAGTACAGTAGTGAAAATTTATCGTCATGCTAAATACTTTTCAAAGGTGGCACATATTAAAAATAGTGAGACGAGATATAACACAAAATAAGTAAAAATTGAATAACAAAAATGCATTACAAATTGTGTCAACAGATCAAATTAACACGAACGTACTATTTGAGAGTATTCGCAGTTACTGAAAGCTAGTTAAAAGCCAAAAACAATTAATAATAAAAAATCATGAATCAGAGACTACAATCAATTAAAACACATCCCAGGGAGTTAGTGTTTTAACGCCATGGACAGTCCAAGAAGACATGACTTGTGCAATGCCAAAATAAAAGTATCGACAGGCAGTAGGATAGTTAGGATTTAACCTTATAATAAAGTTTGTTACACATCAATTACTTTGTCAAAGCTTCATAGAATATATTTTTTTTCATTTTTTAGTATTTTCCTGATAAATGGACTTAGTTTTTTACAGTTAACATTTACAGACAGTCTGGGATTAATTTTTGTTGACATGCTAAATTTGTAAACCTTCACGAATTGTTATGAAACTTGAACCGAAGCTAATCTTCAAGACCAAGAAATAGCATCTAAAGAAAAAGTTTGATTTTTTTTATTCTGTATTTTACTGATAGATGGACTCACTGTTTAAGTCAACATTACACTTTGACACTGACGGCAACAATCGCAGGCGAGACACAGGGTTCCGCGAAACCCCTTACGAAATTTTTTATAGCTAGCTAAATCTCCCACTTGTATAACAGTTGTTTATAGTTCCGTTATATTGAATGAGCCCGACGCTGCTTTAGATTATTATGATATTGTATTAGTTTGGAAGCTATTTGAATTAATTGTAGTTTCAGGGTAGAACCACATTGATAATCGGCTGGTTGGAAACAAGAAGTTGTCCATTGAGGCTAATTCTATTTGCCGGTGTCTGTGAAGGTTCCATGTTTTTTTCTCGCCCTTTTTTAATGAGAGATCTTGTGGCAAGAACTGATTGACTTAAACGTTTACAGGAGAGAAAATAAGAATGGAGAGAGTTTTTAACAAAACGAAAAGCTATGACATATACCGGGTACTTGACAGGTCACACATGCACGTTTTCCCCTTTTCTCTTTTAGATCTACCTTATTACAACTAACAATTTTAATTGATCAAATCAATACACGACACAATGTTATATTCTTAAAAAGAAATGAATTCTCAATGTTTCATAATAGAATTGTAAAAATTAGATGGCATGATTTACTGCGAGTATTGACGTTTGTGTTGACTGGTTGCTATGCTTTTATATTGATTATACATATTAAACCATTCAGCGCACTCACCCGGAACTTTGACGCAGTTTAAATGTAGAACGATTTTACTGAGTATTGTATTTTTTTTTCATCCGGATAATCTGAACTACTTAAGTAACGCACCACATCTTGCTTTATATATTAGTTTTGCAATTTCTTGTTTTGCTACAAATTTGAAGAAACGTATTATATTTGAAGCATAACTTTCAAACTAATGCAGAGTTTATAGGGAAATGACCATGCCCGGTAGGACCCCGTCTTGGCCCGTAAATATAGCATTTTACAAATTTGTTAAAATTGCAAACTTCTTGTTACATAAATATGGGCTGTTTTTTGGCAATACAATGCACATGCATCAGGTACTAGCATCATTAATTCGTGCAACATTACTGAAATCATCACAATTTGAGCATTTGTGCAAAATTTTATACGGTTTTTGTTTAAAATGGAAGTGGCCGCACTTGTGTTCAGTCAAGTATATTTTGTATTTGGTGATAATACGTAACATATAAATTGTATAAACGTTGAGACTGAATACGAATGCGGCCTTAAGCTTGAATTTGAGCGTATTTAATGACCAAAATCAGTTCAAATCTTTTACATATGATAGACTAATTGAATCTACTGAAGTAGACAATTAAGTGTTTATAAAAACCTTTCATCAGATCGTTTTAGGCCAAAATTAGCCCTAACAAGACCTTCTTCTTTTCATTTTAGTGGCGGTAATGAGGATTTTAACCTCAAAAGTCGAAAATCAAAAGTCTGAGAAAAGTCCATTTCAAATTGTTCATATTTGATTTGAAGCTGAAAACCACAGTATTTTTGTTGTTTTCTGGCGAATTGTTACGACTCAAGTTTTCACAAATTTGGCAACGTTTTTTTTATTGTTGTAAAAAAATGTGCTTTTTGAGAAGAAAAAAATAAAATTAAGAAATTCTCATTGTCACAGAATTTTGTGTTTATGACTTTAGAAACTTTGTGTTCAAATTTTTACTCATTTCAATCAATTTAAAAAAAAAGTAGAATGCATTCGAAAAATTTTCTCTAAGAAACTAATGGAGGTCATGCGTTTTTGTTGTTGTTGAGTATAAATATATATATATATATATACTGTATTTGAATCTAAATGTTGATGTCGAATGTTGGTTCTGTGTACCCATAAGTCATATCTTCTGTCGATATGCAATACAAAGTCATCTATATTGCCATATTTTTTTTCAAATAGAAGAACTATTATGATATAGGCGAGCGCGCTACCACTAGACTACCGAGACGCGTCCAGTATTAGCAGGCTTTAACAAAATACTAGTGTTTATTCACTGTGTCGAGCTCTAAATTACCATCTCGAGATTTAAGTTGTTAATAAATTAAACAAAAACTATCAAAACTATGTTGACGTACGGGACTTTAATTTGTGTAGTTACGTTTTTATTTATATTTTCTATTTTTTTTATAGGGAAATGGACCAGGCACAACAAATGAACAGTTACGCCCATGGAGCTTCAAGAGGACATGTGATGGTTACAGGGGGTGCCGGATACCTTGGATCTACGATGGTACCTATGCTCCTTGACGAAGGCTATGAAGTCACAGTGTATGACATTTTTCTGTGGGGAATTAATTCTCTTCTTCACGTTATGCCAAATCCAAGACTTCACATCATAAAAGGGGACATTCGTGACAAACAGAAATTAGAAGAAGCGATGTCCGATAAAGATATAATCATTCATTTGGCTGCCATCGTTGGATATCCTGCATGTGACAAAGATCCGGACTGTGCGATTGATACCAATGTTGTCGGTACTAGAAACATTGCTGAACTTTTGCGACCAGACCAAAAGATGGTCTATGCCAGTACAGGGTCATGTTATGGTGCGGTTGATAATATCTGTACAGAAGAAACCGATATCTGTCCTTTAACACTGTACGGAAGTAGCAAAGCGGACGCAGAAAAGCATGTCGTCAAAGCTGGTGGCATTGGTCTTCGATTAGCAACTGTATTCGGATTATCACCACGGTTACGGTTGGATTTGCTGATCAATGACTTAACATACAAAGCCCTTACGCTTAAAGAATTTGACCTTTACGAAGGGTCATTCCGTCGTACATTTTTACACGTGCGCGATGCAGCAAGAGCATTTGTATTCGCGTGTCTAAATTATGATGTAATGAAAGGACAAGCATTTAATGTGGGAGATGAAAAAATGAATATGACGAAATCCCATGTAGCTAGCGTCATCCAGGACCACGTGAAGGGGTGTTCCATAACGGAATCTAATTCGGGCCAGGATAAAGACAAGAGAGACTATGAAGTTTCTTACGCAAAAATTCGAAAGCTTGGATATAATTCCACTATTAGCGTTGAAGACGGGATCAAGGAAATGTTGAAAATTTTACCCATTTTACACCCAAACGACATCGGAAAGTGCAAAAATGTGTAGAACTTTTTTTTATTATAAAAATAACACCGTAACAGTTCCATGGTCGTGTACTAATCTTTTCTAGTAGGGAATGTCATTAAACCATGATGATATTCTTTTGCATTTTAAATGGACATTTGTCTTGAATCACCATGTATACAATGATCAGTTCTTTGTGTTTAAACAGTGTTTATATTTTGGAAAAATGAAAATTAGAATAGCACCATCCCTAAGGACAATGATGCCGAACATAATTTAGTTTCCTACAACAAAATTTATTACATTCATGCCATGCAAGGAAAACTGAACAAGAATTCCGGACAAGTTCAACATTTCTACATGATATTCATGTCTATGCATAATGTTTGTATTATCACGTTTTCAGTTGACATATTATGCTTTATATAAATCTTTTGTGTATGTTATACAATAGGGTAATTACTGCTATAAGATCGGCAGAGGATTATTATGTTTCGTGTTTTTACATGTAAACATTTTCATACTTTCACTGCAATGAAAAAGTAAAAAAAAAGTACTAGTAATTGAAATTGGATAGGGATCAACTGATATAAAGATTGGCTGGTGAATTATGTTAATATTTTTTTTTATTAATGCAACAGTTCACAATGTTTTGGTCTCAGTTTTAGAGCAAATGTTTTGTTTTCACCACAGTAATAATGAGCTTGTGTAATTATTGGCAAAACAATTTTAAATACAAACGAAATGCCAACTTTAGTTAGAAAAGCATACCCGTCCGTTGGATTTTTTTTATATTCTATTTTTATTTACATTCTTTTTCATTATGCATAATACTATTTTGTATTTAAAAAAATCTCTTTTCTATGGATATTTATATATCTTAATGTTTGAAAATAAAAATGTTTTTGTATATTTGTTTGTATCTGCTGTCACGGAAAAAAAGAATGGAACAAGAAGCATGCGCATTACGTTTGCGCGAAATTTACCTGCTAAAAAGTGTCTAGTTTTTCACGGATTTATCAAATTTTATATTAAAAATTGAATAAGAATTATGATTTCTGAAATTAGAGCAAAATATTTTAGATTAAAATTTTTAAAAAGATAAACAAATTTACACCGACTATTTACTAGTAGTTGAAATAACGCTATTGGTGAGTCTTAATTTCTGGAAACACTATAGACGGCTGTTCAAAATGAAAGAACAAAACGTTTCAACAATGGGCCAGTCATTACAACGACTAATCCCGCCATCTTCTTATTTCTATCTAACCCTACATTGGGATCATACTGCTATTTCAGTTGACTAGTTTCATTGAAATACGCGGTAGCTGTACCCCAGCTCTTATGGACAAAATTCAGTTCACCGTTCAACACATATTTATATATCAAACTGGGAAAATCAAAATGCGTTTGTATCGGCTGAAACGGAAAAATAGAATGGACCAAGAAGCATGCGCAAAAAAAGTCTGGATTTTCTAAACAGCAGTTACCCCTTCTAACTGACTGAATTTTTCCAAATTATGTATTAGTACAATTAATGAACTTTTCTGTAGTAAGATTTGTAAGAGATATTTTTGAAATGATAAAAAATCCAAGCAATCCTATTAGGTTGTCATTCGGCGCGGTTGACGCTTGATAATTACTACTTTGAAGAATAAAAAAAATGAAATAAGAATTACATGTAAGATGACAACAAATCTGGCACTGCAGACTGATTTGATCCTCTTCTGCACATCTATTTGAGAGAGCATTTTTATTCAAAGTGTTATAAATACTAGTATGCTTGGAGAGACGCAAAAATATGTACTATCATTGCTAATTTTTCACCTGTTTAAATGTGTTACAATTCATAGTGGGATACCTTTTCTAAACCCACTTTAAAAAACAAACGTGTTAGTAACAGCTAGTGACCTCGAATTTTGACCTGTTGATCGCAAATTAAATCAATAAGTTTCTATCCTTCTTAATATCTTCATTATGTATAAGTTTCATTCCAATCACCAGCCACCACCCGTAAACCATTTTTTCTTCTTCAATTTTTGCTATTTTTAGAAACCATATGACTTTGACCTCTGATCAATTGACCCCAAATCAATAACATGGAACCTCCCAAATTCGATTTCTTCCTTCCTTTTCATTCCAATCGAGCAAGGGATTCTCAAGATTCATATATAGAAACCATGCTTTGTATCGGACGCACGCGAAAAATTCGAGAAGCATAAAAATGACTGGATACTCTCAGATAACCCTATTATCTCATTAATCCGACATGTTGCAAACTACAGTTTACAAATGTAAAACGTTTGATCAAAGATTAGTCTGTTGAAAACAAAAGATTCCAATATTTGAATCTTTGTAAGATTTTAAACTCCATATTACGATAAAATATTCATGACATACGCAATGGACGGTCAACGATTTCTTCCTGAGTTGTAGAAAGTTAATAAAAAAAAAAAACGGGGGACACATCAACTTAGCCGTCAAACTTCAGTATCAGCGCCCAAATTTACATTCCCAAAGTTTATAGCAAGCATGGGCGTGTAAGTTTTACACAATAGAGAACAATGGGCCAATACTCTACAGAAAAATGAGTCAAAATGGTAAATGATAAAGAAAAATACGTCAAAAAAATAAAGAATAGAGAAAAATTGGGGTGCTAATATATACAATAGAATAGATACGTGTCATACGAATGTTGACGGTTCTTATGCCATTTTTTTCGATTTTAAGGGCGTACATCGACTTTTGGATCCATCACTGAAAACAGATGCGACTTGCAATGTTAACAATACGTATTTCCTGTTTCTTAAATGTAATGCTATTCCTGTCTTTTTCGGCAGGTAAGTAAGAATTGGGACTATTATACTAACTTACCTATATTATAATCCGCTATCGGGACAATGAAATCGATCGATCAGTTTCCAGTCTCGTTAGTATAATAGTCCCAGGTATGAAGGAAAGGAATTTAGTAAAATTAAGGCATTAATATGCAGTGATTGACCTAGGATAAATGTTATTATTTTGTGGATAAGATGACTTTGAAGTTATCTTATGAACTATATATCGTTGGTCCAATTTCCAAGAATCTCGCAGAAATCGTTTTGTGATATTGTTAAAATAAAATCCTCCTTTAATGACTCGAAATTCATTATTCAATTGTAGCACAGTAATTCTTCCATCAATTTTTAAATTATTTATAAATATACAAAAGTAAAAAAAAAAGAATTCGGTATACCAGAGACATAGAATACAATTTTTTTTTTTATTGTATTATATGTCTCTGCTCTGGATATACAAATAAGGATATGTGATAAGATTGACAATGAGACAACTAACCACCAAAGACTCATTTCATAAATAGTCTTGTGACAAAAAATACTCGTAAGTCATGAATATTTCCGAGAATCACTTGGGATCAATTATTCGGTGCTTTGCTTTTGCGCAAACTGGCATTTCATTTGCGCCAAAATAATCTTTCATTAGCGCCAAAATAAAACATGTCATTTGCGCCAATAATACAGGTAAATACAGGTAATTAAAACCTAAAAAAGCACTGTACACTGGAGTAAAACCAAAGTTTGTTCGGACACAAGACTTATAAGCAACAGCTCGGATGTACTCGTGTACACATGATAACCTATATGTATGGTCATGAAAAGTTACAGACCTATTTCCTCTATATAAAAATAAGGAGATGTGGTATGATTGCCAATGAGACAACTATCCACCAAAGTTCAAATGAAGTGGATGAAAGCAATTATAGGCAACCGTACGGCCTTCAAAAATGAGAAAACCCCATACCGTATAAACAACCCCGACTTAAAAAATATGAAGCAATCCAATTGAGAAAACTAACGGCCTGTTTGTCTCAGAATTGACAATGTCCATCTTGACACCAAACATGTTAACACTATACAGTTTTATATTAGAAATGAGTATGAACTTATTTAGTTACCCAGGGGGAATACTCTAAAAAAATCTTATTCACGATGTAGCAATGACTATTTTAAGGTGTTCCGTTATATGTTACCTGTAAAATGGCGCAAATGTAGTTTTTATTTTTTTGGCGCAAATGAAATATAACCTTGTGACGAAAATGAAAGATTGGATTTTGTAAAAATTGGCATTGCGCCCCAATTATTGTCGTAAGGATTTGTGTGAAGAGAGCACCAGAGTCCAAATGACGTCGATGCTAGCAACTTTTTTTTTATGTTCGTTATCAGTTATATAACTTATAGAATAACTAATCGAAGAATTCAAATAGAGAAAAATATTCAACGAGTGACCGAACAATACATTAATTCACGAATGCGCGTAATTATCAGTGTTGTTCGGTCACGAGTTGAATATTTTTTCGATATTTGAATTCTTTGATTAGTTATTCTTTTTATTACATTGGCAAATTACTATTTTTATGAAATTAAAGTAGAAAATGTAAGGAACTATATCTTTTTCTACGCATTCACAATTTGTTTGATCCGACGTTATCGACGTCTTGATAACGCCTATTGTTGTATGACGTCAGAGGAGTGAACTAACCACGTTTATTTCACTTGTGAAATTATCGGTTTTTAACCAATGTAATAAATATTTTTCTCTAATTCTTCGTCAATTTATCCCTTTCTGCACCCATTGTATAAAAAAAATTTAATCAACGTGTGGTTCGTTTGATCTCAGTTCTCCATTGGTTAAAATCCGATTATGACGTCGAAATTTCTTGCTTTCCTCTGAATTTTCTATTGTGACGGCATGAAAAAAGGCGACCATGCCTGGTGACGTCACATAGAAAGAACACATCTTTTTGCAGATCATTCGAAAAGAAGGAATAAATTTGCCTGTGTATTGTTTGAAAATCATTAGAGAAACAGATTCCACCACCAAATCTCGTGTAATACGATATTTATCCACTCTCGACAGTTAAATTTTAAATATTTAAAACGCTCGGCGAGCCTTGCGTTTTAAATTTGAAATTTAACTGTCTCGAGTGGATAAATATCGTATCACACTCGATGCAGTGGTAGAATCTATATATAACGATTTACAAGTTTTAATTTTTTGTAAACCTTTCAAAACGTATCATCCTTTATACGGTTACTTTAAGATTTTCTTTAAAGAGGGTGGTAAAGGGTTATTTTCGTGCAACGTGTTTTGCCATTTTTATTTCACGTGCAGCCGTGAAAAAGGTTCGTTATTCGCCGTGTTTCGTGAAATCGGTAAAAAGATGAACGTTCAAGAAATTTTTAATTGTTCGTTCATCGTGAAATGGCATATAATATAACCTTGTGACGAAAATGAAAGATTGGATTTTGTAAAAATTGGCATTGCGCCCCAATTATTGTCGTAAGGATTTGTGTGAAGAGAGCACCAGAGTCCAAATGACGTCGATGCTAGCAACTTTTTTTTTATGTTCGTTATCAGTTATATAACTTATAGAATAACTAATCGAAGAATTCAAATAGAGAAAAATATTCAACGAGTGACCGAACAATACATTAATTCACGAATGCGCGTAATTATCAGTGTTGTTCGGTCACGAGTTGAATATTTTTTCGATATTTGAATTCTTTGATTAGTTATTCTTTTTATTACATTGGCAAATTACTATTTTTATGAAATTAAAGTAGAAAATGTAAGGAACTATATCTTTTTCTACGCATTCACAATTTGTTTGATCCGACGTTATCGACGTCTTGATAACGCCTATTGTTGTATGACGTCAGAGGAGTGAACTAACCACGTTTATTTCACTTGTGAAATTATCGGTTTTTAACCAATGTAATAAATATTTTTCTCTAATTCTTCGTCAATTTATCCCTTTCTGCACCCATTGTATAAAAAAAATTTAATCAACGTGTGGTTCGTTTGATCTCAGTTCTCCATTGGTTAAAATCCGAATATGACGTCGAAATT